GTCCCTGCTCCTGCCAACCTAGCAGTTCGAAAGCACGTCAAAGTGCAAGTAGATAAATAGGTATCGCTCCGGCGGGAAGGTAAACGGCGTTTCCGTGCGCTGCTCTGGTTTGCCAGAAGCGACTTAGTCATGCTGGCCACATGACCCGGAAGCTGTACGCCGGTTCACTTGGCCAATAAAGCGAGATGAGCACCTCAACCCCAGAGTCGGTCACGACTAGACCTAATGGTCAGGGGTCCCTTTATCTATACATAAAATATGTATACTTTTTTTTAAAAGGGACAGGAGCAGAGGAAATAAAAAGATAGAAACCTTAAGCCTGAGGAAAACTTCAGTGAAACTTGAAAGCCCACATACTGCATTGTGGACATTGTTGGTTTTGATGAACTTTATGAAGAAGAAGAAGAAATTATTATTTATACCCCGCCCATCTGGCTGGATTTTCCCAGCAACTCTGGGCAGCTCCCAACAGAACATTAAAAACACAATAAAAGATCAAACATTAAAAACTTCCCATAACATTTAACTTTTAGATTGTTTTATTGTAATTTAATTTTGCTCTAATAGACCAAACAGGGGCCTACTTGCTTGTTAAAACTTTGAAATAGAATTAAACAAAAATATTACTTTGGGATTTGTCTCCCATTTATAAAGGTCCCTTGCCTTTATATTGCAGTAAGGGAAACATTCACTTCATTCAATACATAACCAGACGTTACAGACGACTACAGAATCTATTCAATTTGTAACAAGGCATGGGGCGGCCGGTCTCTTACGCACACTAATTATATTAAATTTTCTGTGGTCCCCACACGGCTATAAAAACCTGGCAAATGATCTCACACAGATGCGCTACAAACAAACCTAGTCCTATTGCATAAGGGTCAGTTATTGCATGTTAAATCTCATATATGTTAAGTAGAATCCACAGTTAATGAACAGGTATGAATAGCGGAGAGAAATCTTCTAGGAACGGCAAATGCACTCTTCTCTATACAGTACTTCTCATTTGATCTCTCATGAAGTGTTGGGAATCTTCCAAACACTGCCCAGCAACTGATGGGGACTTGCATATGTTCATCAGGAAACCTCACACAATTTAATAGTTCTGTGATGAGTGTACTTGCATGACACCCATTTTTCCCAGACACTCTTTCTCATACCAATAGTTTATAGTTTTATCATAATGATTTTATTATTTGTACCTCACCCATCTGACTGGGTTGCCCCAGACACTCTGGTAAGCTTCCAACATATATAAAAGCATAATAAAACGTTACACATTAAAAAGCTTGACAAAACCCCAAGTGTACCGTGCACAGGAACAATGAAATGTGTGAAAAGGCCAGCATAGGCCAGTCCTATGCATGTTCACCCAAAAGCCCAGATAAGCATGCATAAGATTTCAGTCATGTAGTATAACCCTTAAGTATTTTTTTTTTTACTTTTATATGCCCTGTTGTCTTTGTCCATGGAGTTTTCTTGACAGGGATACTGAAGTGGCTTGCCGGTTCCTCCTCCAGGTGGATCGTGTTTGGTCAAAACTCTCCACTATGACCTGTTCATCTTGGGTGGCCCTGCACGGCATAGCTCATAGCTTCTCTGAGTTATTCAAGCCCCTTCGCCACGGCAAGGCAGTGATCCATGAAGGGGCTTGCTCACTGGAAGGACAGATCGTGAAGCTGAGGCTCCAATACTTTGGCCACCTCATGAGAAGAGAAGACTCCCTGGAAAAGACCCTGATGTTGGGAAAGATGGAGGACACAAGGAGAAGGGGACGACAGAGGACAAGATGGTTGGATAGTGTTCTCAAAACTACCAGCATGAGTTTGACCAAACTGCGGGAGGCAGTGGAAGACAGAAGTGCCTGGCGTGCTCTGGTCCATGGGGTCACGAAGAGTCGGACACGACTAAACAACTAAACAACTAACATTTGTTTTACTCAGGATTAAGTCCCACTGAGCAGGATTTCGGCCTATTCTTTACCCACTGAACTTCTTAACAAACTCTGCTAAATAAAGTGGGATTTACTTCTAAGTAAACTTGCATCGTTTGCAAGAGTTAAAAGATAACTAATCAGAGACAGGAGAGCTATGAGATTCAGGTGAGGGTCAGATGCCTTGTCAATCCCAGCAGGTATATAAGAGGATGACCCGGCCTTCCCAGGATTTCACACTGAGCCTGATGAGTTCTGTTAAACTCATATGCTACCTTGATTCTTTGTGATTTTTAATTGACTGTCATAAAGGTATTGTGTTACTACTGCAGCTTGGATTCTTATTATGTCTTTTTATTTTTTATTTTAACAGGCCAACATCAGTGCCTGCTACAACATGCCTCCGTTTAGGGGAACTGGAACATCAAAGCCAGGGCAGGCACCACAACTATTTACAATTTTATTGAGAGCTTATAGACATTCTTTACAGAGTTATCATGCATAAAGCAACCATTCACGCCTCCTGAGCTCAAGGATAATTAATAGGTTTCTCTACCCAAGTACTCTATAACGCCTGTATTGTGAAAAATAATAATCATAATATAGTAAAATATTTTTTCATATTCATTTGCTACATACATAGTGTCTTATCGTTCATTTTAATTGTCTTTATTAGATTTTTATATCTTGCAGGTTGTACATAAAAACAATGCAATGACACAGCAACAAAAACAACACAAACTTTAATCGAGGATATATAATTCAACAGTATGTATGTACGTAGTACAGCGGTACCTCGGGTTAAGTATTTAATTCGTTCCGGAGGTCAGTACTTAACCTGAAACTGTTCTTAACCTGAAGCACCACTTAGCTAATGGGGCCTCCTGCTGCTGCCACGCCACCGGAGCACGATTTCTGTTCTCATCCTGAAGCAAAGTTCTTAACCTGAAGCACTATTTCTGGGTTAGCGGAGTCTGTAACCTGAAGCGTATGTAACCTGAAGCGTATGTAACCCGAGATACCACTGTATTACTGAACGCCTTGCAAGTTGAATGATTTGGCTCCTGAACGCCGCAAACTTGGAAGTGTGTGTTCCGGTTTGCGAATGTTCTTTGGAACCTGAACGTCCAATGCAACTTCCGCAGCTTCCGATTGGCTGCAGGAGCTTCCTGCAAACAACTGGAAGCTGCACATTGGTTTCTGAACGTTTTAGAAGTTGAACAGACCTCCAGGACAGATTCCATTCAACTTCCGAGGTAACACTGTATTATTATTGTTATTAAAATGTAATTACTATTATGTTGTAACAATGTGCAGCAAAAACCATAATATATCAAGCATCCTTAAGCAGCTGCAATGGTTGCAGAGGAGGGCGACCAAGATGATAAAGGGTCTTGAAACCAAGCCTTAGGAGGAACAGTTGAGGGAATTGGATATGTTTAGCCTGGACAGGAAGGGACGCGGGTGGCGCTGTGGGTTAAACCACAGAGCCTAGGACTTGCCGATCAGAAGGTCGGTGGTTTTCGAATCCTCGCGACGGGGTAAGCTCCCGTTGCTCGGTCCCAGCTCCTGCCAACCTAGCAGTTCAAAAGCACGTCAAAGTGCAAGTAGATAAATAGGTACCGCTCTGGCGGGAAGGTAAATGGCGTTTCCGTGCGCTGCTCTGGTTTGCCAGAAGCGACTTAGTCATGCTGGCCACATGACCCGGAAGCTGCACGCCGGCTTCCTTGGCCAATAAAGCAAGATGAGCGCCGCAACCCCAGAGTCGGTCATGACTGGACCTAATGGTCAGGGGTCCCTTTACCTTTACTAGCCTGGACAGGATAAGACAGAGAGACAATATGATAGCCATGGAGGATGGAGCAAGCTTGTTTTCTCCTGCTCTAGAGGGTATGATGGGAAACAATGGATTCAAATTACAAGAAAGGAGATTCCAGCTAAACATCTGGAAGAACTTTCTGACAGTAAGAGTCATCTGGCAGTGGAGCAGACTCCCTCGGAAGGTGGTGGACTCTCCTTCCTTGGAGGTTTTCAAGCAGAGGTTGAATGCCATGTATGTTCCAGTTGAGATTTTGGGGGTTGCACTAGATGTCTCTTGGGGTCCCTTCCAACTCAACAATTCTATGATTCTCATGGAAAAGAAAGAAGGGAAATAAAACAAGGGGAGGGAAAGAGAGGAAATGACACATCAAGAGGGGACCGAGACAACATAACAAAACACTATAATTTTATTTATTAAATTTCTATACCCGCCATTCATCTGAGGTTCATGGTGCGGTTTACCATATAAAAACATAAAAATGTACAGAATCACAGAATTGTAGAGTTGGTAGCACCCCAAGGGTCATCTAGTCCAAGCCTTGGAATGCAGGAATCTCAACATACCTGACCCTGCCTATCTTTGCAAATAAGCTGGTGGTTTTGTTGCTGCACCAATATAGTAACAAACAAAAAGAATGATTTGTGTGCATACACACACAAAACGGGAGTTTAAAAGGCCTATGGACAAACTGCAAAACATATTTGCGGGAAATGAGGGTTATGGGTTTGTTCTTGTTCTTATTATGTATTTTGTGTTTTTATTTTGTATTTTTATGCTGTGAACTGCTCTGAGATTTTCAGGTGAAGGGAGGTATACAGATTTACCAAACAAACAAGCAGAGTTTGGAAAACCCTTTAAAAAATTCCCACGGGACGAAAACCAACCCGCACAAGAACAGCATAGAAACTCCAAATTGCAACCATACAAATTTAATATGAAAAAAAGCAAGCAGTTTTGAAAACCCTTTAAAAAAACACAACCCCACCAGCCAAAACCAACCCGCACCCTTCGCTAACAGCAGCCCAGAACCGGAATTGCAAAACTGGAGCGAAAACACGCCTCTCCCCCCCCCCCGATCATCCCATACAAGCAAAACTCCTAGTTTCTACTTGCCCTTCCTTCCTCAGAGCCAGGACATCCGCGGCGGCTTCAGGGCGCCTCACCGCGCGTGCTCGGCGTCCTCCCGGGCCGCGCATGCGCCCTGCTGCCCGCGCGCGGGGCGAGGCGAAATCACAACCCAGAGAAACTTATGTCTCAGTACTTGCCCTTCCTTCCTCAGAGCCAGGGCACCCGCGGCGGCTTCAGGGCGCCTCACCGCGCGTGCTCGGCGTCCTCCCCGGCCGCGCCTGCGCCCTGGTGCCCGCGCGCGGGGCGAGGCGTCGTGCGTGAGGTGTGTGTGTGTGTGTGTGTGTGTGGATTCGGTTCGGCCGTTGGCGCCGACTCCTCGGTTAAATCCCTTCATGGCGGCCCCGGCCGGGTTGCCGCGGCGCTAGGCCTCGCTGGCTCCCTCGCCGGGGCGGTCCCTCCCTCGAGGGAGGCGGCCATGGCGAGCCGGGGAGCTCCGCTGGTGCTGCTGGCGGCGGCGCTGGCGCTGGCCCGAGGCGGAGGCTCCTCAGGGCTGCCCGAAGGCTGCAAACAGGACGGAGGAGGAGGAGGAGGAGGCGGCGGCGGCGGTCGCCTCAGGAGCGGCAGCGGCAAGGCTTCTCCGCCGGGCGAAGCGGGAGTGGGAGGGAAGGTGGTCTGCAGCAGCCTGGCTCTGGCCCGCGTCCCGGACCCCGGCGGGCTCCCCAACAGGACGGTCACCCTGTGAGTAAGCGACGCCGAGGAAAGGGCTGGGGGGAGGGCCGGGGTCCGCTGGGAGTGGGATTGGGTCCCTGCGATGGAGACTTCTTTTTAAAATCTCTATTATTATTATTATTCGTTGTGGTTTTCCCCTCCTCTCGGTAGTACTGATCGATTCGGCCCTTTATTATTATTATTATTATTATTCGTTGTGGTTTTCCCCTCCTCTCGGTAGTACTGATCGATTCGGCCCTTTATTATTATTATTATTATTCGTTGTGGTTTTCCCCTCCTCTCGGTAGTACTGATCGATTCGGCCCTTTATTATTATTATTCGTTATGGTTTTCCCCTCCTCTCGGTAGTAATGATCGATTCGGCCCTTTATTATTATTATTATTATTATTCGTTGTGGTTTTCCCCTCTCGGTAGTACTGATCGATTCGGCCCATTATTATTATTATTATTATTATTATTCGTTATGGTTTTCCCCTCCTCTCTGTAGTACTGATCGATTCGGCCCTTTATTATTATTATTATTATTATTCGTTGTGGTTTTCCCCTCCTCTCGGTTGTACTGATCGATTCGGCCCTTTATTATTATTATTATTATTATTCGTTGTGGTTTTCCCCTCCTCTCGGTAGTACTGATCGATTCGGCCCTTTATTATTATTATTATTATTCGTTGTGGTTTTCCCCTCCTCTCGGTAGTACTGATCGATTCGGCCCATTATTATTATTATTATTATTATTATTATTAGTTGTGGTTTTCTCCTCCTCTCGGTAGTATATGGGGAGGGCGGGGTATAAATAAAAATTTATTAGTAGTAGTAGTAGTAGTAGTAGATCGATTCGGCCCTGCTCTTTACCCCGTGTGTTTGGCTCATTGTTTATGATTCCTTCCCACTCCCCTTCATGCCGCCTTTTCAGCGTGGTTTCGGGCTGTGCCAAAGGCGGCGTGCAGATAAAAAGGTGGTGGGGTGTTTTGGGGCGGGTGGGTGGGTGTGGAAGATGCTCCGTCTCCCTCTCGTGGTTGTTGTTTTTTTTTCCTCTCCCCCCCCCCCGCTATTAACGCACAACCCCTATAACAGGGGTCAGCAAACTTTTTCAGCTGGGGGCCGGTCCACTGTCCCTGAGACCTTGTGAGGGGCCGGGCTATATTTTGGAAAAAAAATAAATGAACGAATTCCTGTGCCCCACAAATAACCCAGAGATGCATTTTAAATAAAAAGGCACATTCTACTCATGTAAAAACACCAGGCAGGCCCTACAAATAACCCAGAGATGCATTTTTAATAAAAGGGCACATTCTACTCATGTAAAAACACGCTGATTTCCAGAACGTCCGTGGGCTGGATTTAGAAGGCGATTGGGCCGGATCCGGCACCCGGACCTTAGTTTGCCTACCCATACCCTATAACAACACCTTCCCTTTAATATATATAGAGAGAGATATATATAATAGGGATGTGGGTGGCGCTGTGGCCTAAACCACTGAGCCTTGGGCTTGCAGATCAGAAGGTCAGTGGTTCAAATCCTCACAATGGAGGGGAGTTCTGTCCCAGCTCCTGCCAACCTAGCAGTTAGAAAGCATTCCAGTGCAAGTAGATAAATAGATAAATAGGTAGCACTGTGGCGGGAAGGTAAACGGCGTTTCTGTGCACTCTGGTTTCTGTCACGGTGTCCCGTTGCGCCAGAAGCAGTTTAGTCAGCCTGAAAGCGAGATGAGCGCCGCAACCCCATAGTCGCCTTTCACTGGACTTAACTGTCCAGGGATCCTTTGCCTTTTATGTATATATACACACACACACACACACACACACACACACACAGAGTCATACCTCGGGTTACAGACGCTTCAGGTTGCTTTTTTTCGGGTTACGGACCGCTGAAACCTGGAAGTACCGGAACGGGTTACTTCCAGGTTTTGGCGGTCGTGCATGCGCCGAATCGCAACCCGCGGAGATGCGGGTTGCGAACGCTGCCGGTTGCGAACATGCATCCTGCACGGATCACGTTTGCAAACCAAGCATCCATTGTATATATATAGAGTTATTTGATTTTTCAACTTAAAATGTTACAGCGATACATCAAACATCAATCATAAAAACAAGATTCCAGGAATTTCCTGGATTCCCCCCCCATGTGTGTCCTGTTATTAACCAGTTCTTCCCATGTCTTTTTTGATAATCCAAACTCTTTACTTCCATTATGTCCAGAATTCAACTTTAAACTACAAGTCCCAATCCTACTAATGATTTTAACTGTTTACAGTGGCCTTTAAGATAAGTTATAAACTTTACCCATTCCTTATTAAAAATTTGGTCTTCCTGACTATAACAACACCTTCTGTTCCCTCCTCCTGCTTCATGCTGGAGCCTGCTTTCTGACTATGGAAAGGCAACATGCTGATAATGTGAAGTACAGTGGTGCCCCGCAAGACGAATGCCTCGCAAGACGGAAAACCCGCTAGATGAAAGGGTTTTCCGTTTTTTGAGTTGCTTCGCAGGACGAATTTCCCTATGGGCTTGCTTTGCAAGACGAAAATGTCTTGCGAGTCTTGAGATTTTTTTTCCGCTCCCCCCCCCTTTTCTAAGCTGCTAAGCCGCTAATAGCCTTTTAGCAGCTAAGCCGATAAGCCTTTAATAGCCGTTAAACCGCTAATAGCGCTAATCCACTAATAGGGTTGCTTCGCAAGACGAAAAAACCGCTAGACGAAGACACTCGCGGAACGGATTAATTTCGTCTTGCGAGGCACCACTGTATATGGATGTTAGGGGTTGTCCTATGTACTTTTTTTTTTACAGGGTACATCCTCTTTTTCATGGGTATGTAAAATAAGAGCCATCATTGCGATCCATAGTTAAAAGTATAAGTCGGCAAATGTGTCTTTTCTCTCTCTTCGAAATATGGCAACCCTAGGATGTGTGGAAGATGTCCTGTCTCCCTCTTGTAATTGGTTTTTGTCACTCTGTGTAACAGCGCTCCTTCTCACAACCCCATAACACCATCTTTTGCACAACCCCATAACACCATCTTTCCTTCCCTCCATCCACCTCACACCATAGCGTGGCGTTTTAGCTATGGAAAGGTGGCATACAGATAAAGCAATGTGTGCATGGCATGGAAGATTCCTGGTCTCCTCCTCATAATTGTTTTTTTGTCACACAGTGTAATAATGCTCTTTCATGCAAGCACTTTGTAAATAAAGTAAATAACAACTTCTTCCTTCCCACTTGAGCATGGTTTCTCGCAGCATACAGGAAAAGGGATGTATGGAAGATGCCTGGTCTCCATGTAGTAAATGGTGCAGTAACACCCTTTCACACATGCACTTTGAAAATAAAGTAAATAACAACATCTTCTTTCCTTCCTCCCAATTCACACCTCACTCACAGTGTTTTTTGGGAAATAATTGCTTTCCTGCAGGTACATGGGCTGCATGAGCATTCTAAGAAAGCCTTTGCCTATGCTGGATCAGACCAAAAGTACCATCCAGCAGCATTTTGTTCATTTGTTTTTTAAAAAATAATTTATTTTAGTTACAGTAGTTTGTAAAATTTATATAGCTCTTGATCGTGGTGGTGGTGGGAGCCTCTCAAAGCTGTTTACAAAAAGAGGAAAACAATAAAAGACATCAACCCAAAATATTTTTCAATCGTAATTTGAAACATTCCAATAGATAAAAATGCAGTAGAAATGGACTAAAACAAATTAAAACTTGTACAGTTTTTCTAAATGTCTGGGTAGCTTGTGTAAATAAGAATGTCCTCAGGCACCAAAAAGAATACAATGAAGACACCTGCCTCATATCAATATGTTGCCATATACGTTTGTCTTGTTTCTGTTTTCCCATTTTCTCCTTCTTTCACTATCTTTTCAGTTAAAAAAGAAAAGCAAATAAACAGAGATGCCACTGGTATGACTCACTTAATGTTAACGCACAAGCCCCCTCTTCGTCCCAATCTTTTGGTAGCTTACCGAATGAGGGTGATCACCAGTCGTCTTTGGTTTGCCACCAACATCCAGAACTCAAATGCATACTCTCTGAACATTTAAGTATCACAGCATAATGGATATACTATGTCTACCTACCTCACAGCATTCTTGTGAGGCTAGAAGAAAGGAGACAGCCACAATGCTTAGAATAATGAGAAGAATTCCAATATATCGTAAATTTATGAGGTTCAAAAATGTTTGGTTCCTTAGGAATATATTGACTATCTTAATTAAGGACAACAAATGCTGTGGTTATGCATTTTTTAAAAAACTTGATGTATTTTAAACAGTTTTTTAAAGTTTTAGGATAGGAAAGATAAATGAGAAAATATGCATGCTAGGGTTTTGTCAATTTTATAAACATTGTTTATGCCACTGGTCTTCAACTGGTGGATCAGGATCCACCAGTGGGTCACAGCCTGTTCCAAGGTGGGTCACAACAGGAACACTACCAGTATATGGTAAAAGATTAAGAATGCACATTTGGGTTAAAAGTGGGTCCTAGGTCTGTAAAAGCTAGAGAGCCCTTGTCTATGCTATATACCTGTTACATCATAGTGAAGCTTATTTTTAAACCTGTTGATTAGACCATCTGTTTTAATATTCAAGTTACTATTTTTTAAGTGCAAGATCCAATTTAAAGAGGCAGTATGGGATATTATTCCATAACCAAAGAAAAGTCAGGAGCTATTGGAAATGTTTGAAGTTCTAGGTAATAACATATAAGCAACATCTTAACACACTGGTAACCTTTACAGATCTATTCATTACAGTGACTGCCAGAATATCAACTTGGAGTTTACATCTTATATATTTGTGTTGAGGGGACTTGGCAGGAATAGGGAGGTGGCATATGAAGTAAAATAATAGTGATGTAGCTCTTGGCAGCTAATTTTTATGTTCTATGCAGAACGATGTAAGTTCTGTATCAAAGAATCTCCATAAATCACGCAGAAAGATTTCTGTGTCCATTACATCTGAAATTACATTTCATGCCAATTTGAAATTTGACCAAATTTAACATTATAGTAATGGCAACATTTGGTGTCTGTTGCTAGATATTTGTGGCAGAAAAATACAAAGCTCACCTTGTTTGCCTGACTGCAATAGGACACCCAATAAATGATACAGGCATTGTATTGGTCATTTATGTTGAGAGGTTGATTGTGTTAAGTGTAACTCTTCTTTATGGCAGGAGGAGAATGGCACTGTAATAAAAATGGTTTTGGAGTGAATGCCATGAACTACTAGGCCTTTAAGTTTTAAGATAATGTCTATATTTGTTCACGCTACTAATAAAATAAGCTCCTGAGCAAGAGGTACATTTGGAATATATATGGTGTGTATAACTTGCTTAGAATTGGGAAAAACTGCCACTTGTTTATAGGATTGTCTAGAGGATGGATTTCATTGTTGGTTCTGGCAAGTGTTCCTACTACTTTGGTAATGCTTTACAGGACACAACTGTTAGGTGATCACATGACTGCTAAGGCTTGTAAGATACTGGGAAAGAAGGAATGGTGTAGAGTGTGAATGAGTTTCCCTTTGAATAATAGAATGTGAGACATCAAATGGAATTGCTTGACAGTAGGTACAGGAAAGACAGAAGGAAGTACTTCATATAACATATAATTAACTCAGGGAGTTCATTGCCACAGGATATAGTGAAAGCCGCAAGCTTAAATGGCTCTTAAAAAAGGGGATTCGACAAATTCAGAGAGAATAGATCTGTCAGTGGCTAGATTAGAATCTGTATTCCCGGAGTACTGTATGGTGGAGACAAACAACTGGATACTTCCCACCATCGTACTGTGTAAGCTTCTGAAAAGTATTTGGTTAGCTGCTGCAGGAAATTGAATGACTCTTGGGATTGATCTAACAAAGCAGCTATTGTGAAAGAACCATCTCCAGCCACTCCAAAAGATCAAATTTCAGAGGTGCCCAGCAGTTTTTTTTGTAGTCATCAAGTTGAGTACCAGCCCTAATTAGGGCTGTGAGAGTTTTTCGTTTATTTTTAATTAATTAATTTATACATCACTTGCATGACAGAATGGCTACTAAGCAGTTTACAAGAATAAAATCAATTATAAAAGCCATATGTATTTAAAACGCACAATTTAAAAAATGCATCAAAACACTAAAACAAGTGCATCAGAAAGCATAACAGTTACAAGAGCAGGTATAGCAGTTGGATCAGGAAGATCAAGGGAAAGGGAACACTCACCTAAATAGATGCACCTTTAAGAGTCTGCAGATTGCCAGTACAGGCGAGGTCTTCTCTATGCCAGCAGGGAGGTATTCGAAAACACTAGTACCACTAGTGAAAAATATAAAGCCTCAAATGTATAGTTGGTTACTTTCTCTAACCTTGGATATGTGGTTCTCATAAAGACTGATAAATATCTAGTTGGAACAGTACCATGAGCTACAGATTTTAATTTGATTGTCATTTTGCAATATTTTCCAACTTAAAATTCAGACATTATTTCCCCCCCCCAAAAAAATTGGAACGTAGTTTCTTAAACCTTATGAACTCTAGCCCATAGAACAAAAATAATAATAATTCTGCATTAAAAGAATAATGAAAACTAAAATTTTATATATGCAAATGAACAGTTTTAATACAGAACAGCACTGCTTTACTACTTTCGTATTGAATTTGAAAATGACCAGGAAACTGTTCTGTGAAACAACAATTGAAGATATTCACCCTTCAGTTCCTTATTTTCTATTTAGCTGACTTGATTATATTTTATTTATTAAATTTCTATACCACCCTTCATCCAAGGATCACAGGGCGGTTTACAATATAAAAACACAAAAATACATACCATAATTACGATACGATAATCTTTATTGTCATTGTCCCATACAGAACAAAGAAATTGAAAAATCTACATAAAACATTCAAAACCCAACAAGCCTGCTATCCCAGCTATCCCAACCTGGTTAGCCCCCTAAAAACTCTGATACCCCATTTTTTAATACAATATACTCCCATAGAGACTCCTTACACTGTGTTTAAGACCAAAATCGCATTTGGGTAGAAACTGTTTCTCAGGCGGCTAGTCCTAGTCTTTATAACCCTGTACCTTCTTCCAGAAGGCAGAAGCTGAAAGAGATCATTTCCGGGGTGCGCACTATCCTGCGCTATCTCTGCAGCTTTCTTATGGCACCTGGAAGCATAGATTTGATCCAAGGTGGGAAGAGTGCACCCAGTTATTCTCTGCGCAGTCTTTACAACTCTTGACAGCATTGTTTTTTCCCTGACCGTGCAGCTCCCAAACCACACACACAGACTATTAAGTTAATACACCCTCCACAGTACAATGGTAAAATGCCATCAACAGGTCCTCTGAGAGATGGTTTTCCAGAGGATTTACAAACAAAACAGCATGTTTTGTAAAGACATTCGATACTCTTGCCATCCACTTCCCCATCAAGTTACTAGATATGAGTAACTTCCCCATCATTACTAGATATTAAGTGGCCTGCTAGGATATTGAGTTGCTTAGAATCCCAAAAACTACCAGGGGTTTGGGATGGGGTAGGAGCTATACCCAAAAGCGGACATAAATTCCACATCACCGGCTGGATTCAGCTAACTGTTCCCACTAGTAGAAGCCTGTTCAAGAACTTCTGCTAGCACAGTGGGGTGGCACCCCTGCCCTCCCCAAATTGAATCAAAACAGTGTGAGGGGAGCGGAGGGGAGATTGTTCTACCAGGCAAGCAGAAATACTTGCATTGACAGAACATTTGTAACGGCATGGTGTTAAATTCCTCTTCATGCCTTGAATTTTCTTCATAAAAAATCCGTTCACAAAACAACCCAAAATATATGGATAGAAGTAGGTTCGCAGCATGATGCCACATCCCACTGCAGCTACTCCAGTGGCTAAAGCAGCATTCCAGGAAAGTGAAGCAATGCAGTTGCTGGTATGGGAAAGGCAAGATGAATCTGGTGTCCCTTGGGAGGTGACCTGAAGCTTTGCCACAAATGGGCTTTTTTCAAGTCCTGGTGCAACTTTTCTTCAGGCTTTAGCAAGAGGACAAGGTGCCTTGTTGTGCCAGCACTCAAGTTCTTGATCCTGCAAACCTGTATGTTCCCTGTGGGATGGCAGATAGCGGGAGGGAGGGATGGAGGGCAATTTAGTTTGGGGAAACATGGAAGGAAAGTGTGTGTGTGTGTGTGTGTGCGCGCGCGCGCGCGCCCCCCCCCCCCCCCCGGCTGTTGTTTCAACTTAATTTTGGGGATCTCAAGGCTGCTTCTAAATAAACATACAGTCATCAAGTCCTTTATGTGATCTATCTTGGCTCTGAGCTTTGTGAATGAACGAGGATTTTAACCTGTACAGTTATACCTCAGGTTGCGATTGCTGCGAGTTGCGTGTTTTCGGGTTACCGATGCGCCAAAACCCGGAAGTACCGGAATGGGTTACTTCTGGGTTTCGGCACATGTGCAGAAGCAGTAAATCACGCTTTTCCACATGCGCAGAAGCGCCGAATTGCATCACGAGCATGCACAGACGTGGCGCTTCGGGTTGCGAACATGCCTCCTGCACGGATCACGTTCGCAACCTGAGGTTCCACTGTATCTGTTAAGTGCAACATAGTTTGTTTTGCCTGGAACCAAATACTCTGGGTGACCTGCAGAAGCCCTGTTTGTACAGCTTTTTGCAGTTTTGTGTCCTACCATACTTTTGAAGTGCCAGAGCTGAACCAGTCTTCCTGTTTACCTTCCAGGGTAAGACAACCTCTCCACCTTTTAAGGGTGGAAATACGGTCAGAGATCCTTAGGTATATAGTGAAAAGTTCCTTTTGTTTTTCCAGCATCTCACGGTGTTAACAGTCCTGTCTTTTCCTAACTACTGCTTAAGAGGTAGTCCACTATCAAAACTGAGAAATGCAAGACTTTTCTTTCCAGAGCTATATTATGTATATGCTAGCTATTCATATAATTCAATTATGGTTAGTATTTTTTTCCATTGTAGAATCTTTTTATCAGTAGTAATTGTAGTAATAAAACCATATTTGCATTTCTGTTCTCCAAAATTACTTTGAGTACATCTTTTTTTTAGTTTGCTTATGGCTGTAAAATGTTCAAACTGTAAAAATAAAGCCAGTTTATTTGTCTTACCAAAAGAAAGAAGCCAACTGGAAAAGGTTGGGGGGGTATGAGGAGGCAGGATTCTGCTGTCTAGACTTGATGTTTGTGGTTTGAACATTTTGAGGTAACACACTACCAGTTAATTTAAATGAACTTTCTGCCTTTGTAATTGAGCAGACTGTCAGGATTTGTCAGGTCTTGGCCTAGGTTCTAGACAGGATGCAACTGGTGTTAAGTTCACATTGGATCAGGTGAACTAGGAACAAAAGGCAAGAGACAATAGACAGATAAGAATCAAAAGGCCAGAGGCAAGTGCAGAGTCAGAGCCAGGCAGAAAGCGGACTGACTTGCGCTAGTCACTGTGTCTCAGCCTTGTAGTTAGGCAGCGTGGTTTTGAGGCTAAAAGTGCAGAACAAGGGAATTGTACACTCCATCTTAAGCTGCTTGGTGGAAAGGCAATATTAAAGTGTAATAAATAGGCCCCACATTTTAAAATTATATCTAATTATGCTCTGTCAATATTTGCTTGCATTAATGCTGTTAATCATACTGCTGCAAAGCCTCAGCATAAAGTTGCTACTTAGTTGGCTCATGAAATGCAGATAATAAAAAGTGAATCTTGTACGTTTTCAAAGGTCTCATTAAAAAGTAATAGTCTTCTACTTTGTACTTTATTTTCTCAGTGTGTGGTGTATAATCCCCTCCCTCCCCCGGGTTGGAGGCTTCAATGCTGTACAAGGTGAAATGTCCAGCAACAATCTGTTGAAAATATATTATATATAGAAGTACCTTGACAGAGGACGGAGCTTAGAACAGTTTATACTGTCAAAACATCTGCAGATGGTGCTTAAAGCAATACTGTGCAACTCTTTGAGGGTTTTTCTTTGTCAAGTGTTTCTTTCACAGTGTTCCCTGGAACTTTCCCCAGAAAAATATTTACTTACACTTCAGAAAGCTTTCAGTGTGGCCACTGTTTTCTGTAGGAAAGATATTTCATGATTGTACAGATGGTAGCATATCCTCTTAGGATAACCTTTCATATTATGATAGGAAGTATTTACTGTTATTAATAATGGCTGGCATCCAAAAAGCTTCTTTGATTCACATAAGGGACTCTTATCAGTCATACAGAATTCTTTCCCCCCTTTTAAGCAGCTGATTCCTATGTCACATCACAAACAGTGAACATAGGCAGACTATTAAACATGTTTCAGTGTTTGTATGTATCATAAGGGGGTACTTCCTGAGTGACCAATATCATATTTGCAAGTGTCTTTATATACTATTTTGTGTTAGCTAATATTATTTGAACTCAAGATGTTTTCCCAGATAGTTTAAATGCTTTCTTTTTATTGTGTTTATAAGAAGCAGCAGTTAGTACAGAATGCTGCAGTACAGTGAGACCCTGTCAGCCTCTTGACACTAGTTGCCTCTTTGCTACTGGGCCAAATTCAAGGTGTTGATATAAAGAGCCCTTAACAGCTTGGGACCAGTTTACTTGTGGTATTGCTTTACTATCTGCAGAACTGGCACTGTTACAGGTACCACATATGACCCATTCTGCACTTGTAAGAAATTGATATTTTAGTGTGGCAGCATCTACACTTTGAAACTTCCCCTCTACAGAAAGGCTGTACTCTTTTGGGCACTTGCTTAACACTTTCGTCCAGGCATGGCCAAACTTGGCCCTCTAGCTGTTTTGGAACTACATCATCCCTAGCTAACAGGACCAGTGGTCAGGGATGATGTGAATTGCAGTCCCAAGACAGCTGGAGGGCCAAGTTTAGCCATGCCTGGTAGGCAAACCTATCTAGACAAGTAGACGTTACATCTGTTTTATCTCTTTTAAGCTATTGTTAGCTTTTATTTCATATATTGAATGCTTTATATACTTTTTCTTACTGATACTTTTATTGTTTTGTTATTTTTGTAACGGTTTAGACGTTTGTGGGGGTTTTTAAACAGTAAATCACTATATAGATTTAAAGAAAAAAGTGAGGGAGAGAGGACATTAATGGTAAGTCAAAGTACAGTTTACCATTAATGTGTGGGCTCGTGAAGATTGCAGCTTCTTTGCTCCTTCAGGGATTCTGTGAGCTGAGCTATGGTTTGGCTTAGCATGTCTTCAAAATCCAGGCTCAGCTGTCACCAAGGTTTGCCACTTGTGGTTTGTCTAGAGGAGACAAACCACAAGTCCAGGTTCGGATGACACATTAAGCCAAATCAGTCCAGAGAACTGTCACTCTCATGCCCTCGCACTAAAGGTAAAGAACCCCTGACGGTTAAGTCCAGTCAAGTTCAGCTATGGGCTGTGGCACTCATTTCCACTCATTTCCACTTTCAGGCCAAGGGAAGCTGTCCGCAGACAGCTTTACTGAGTCATCTGGCCAGCGTAAATAAACTGCTTCTGGTGCATGGGACACCGGGACGAGTACCAGAGTGCATGGAAACACCATTTATCTTCCCGCTGCAGCAGTACCTAGTTATCTACTCAAGCTGGTATGCTTTTGAATTGCTAGGTTGGCAGGAGCTGGGACAAAGCAATGCAAGCTCATTTTGTTACACAAATTCAAACTGCCGACCTTACAATTGGCAAGCTTGGTGGTTTTGACCACAGTGCCATCCATGTCCATGGTCTGCCTTGGCACTATATGAACGAGCTCAGTCTATCTCATTTTCTCCTTATTTCTTGCACACTTGAAAAAGGGCTTACTTGGAATTCTAATTTTGATCCAAGGAACTATATCTAATGCATGCATATCTAATATAACAGACTAGGGTGTGCATGAGTTTTTGCAGCTTAGCTTCAGGACCAATAACTTAGGGGGCCAATTCTGTAAAGCAGAGCTTTCCAAACTGTGTGTCATGACAAGATAGTGTCACTGCAGTGTATAGGTGTGTCGCGCATACACTCCCCGCACTCCTCCCCGGGGCTGGGAAGCAGTTAGTTTAACCCCTGGTTTGCTAGTAAAACTGAATTACTGTGTCGCGAAATGATGCATGTCTAAATAGTGTGTCACCAATTTGAAAAGTTTGGAAAGCTCTGCTGTAAAGCATCATTTTAAGCAGCATAAGATGGAAAACCACAAACATTTACTCTAATGCTACTGTAATTGTTTGAAAAGGGAAATATTGTAATGTTTTTACATTATTTTGTTTTATAGAATTCTGAGCAACAATAAGATAACAGAATTGAAGAATGGTTCCTTTGCTGGATTAAGCCTTCTTGAAAGATTGTAAGTCCTGCCCCCCTTTTATGCTTTAAGTATTATAATGCGGAAGGAGATGTAATGGAAGGGAGGGAGAATTCACCTCTCTAACTATATTTGAGTTTTTTAAAAACTATAACAACAACATTAAGATACTCCAGAAGTTAATATACTTGGATGAATAGTTTTCCTACTGTATGTATAATAAATACAAAACTAATTGCTTCAAATGTAATAAGAAATAAGCAAGATATTTCCATATAACTTTAGCATATTATTCTATCAATGCTTACTTACAAATAAGTTGCCATGATGATGCCACCCATCTGACTGCGTTGCCCCCACGGTTCTGGGCTGCTCCCAACAAAAATAGTTAAAACACAGTACAACATCACACATTAAATTTACTTTCTCTCGTGGAAATAAACTTATGACTACAATTCCAGTCATGTTTGCTGTAAAGCTCTTAGGTGCAATATAAATAATAGCAAGGATTTAAAGATTTAAAGAACTTTCACTAGGTGCATCCAAGGGCTTAGGTACACCCACCTAAATTTTTGTTTTTTGAATGGCAGTGCCACATGGCAAATCACAGCCTACTAAGAAAATTCCCTAGAGTTTCAAAAGAAGTGTGCAGTGCAATGCAGTGAGGGATAGCCTTTTTATTATTTTTTATTTAGAAACAAATATTTAAACTTTTCTTAGGCACCTAGAATAATCACACAGTGAAACTGCTGTTGATGATGATGCCTTCACTACAATAGTAATGTATATATATATATATATATCCATAATCACATTTTGAGTCTGTTAACTTTTTGAGAGATGGGAACAGTTTTTCTTGCAGTGCAAAAAAATCTAGAATTCTCTTTTACTGCGTTTAATTAAGGTTGTAACTTAAAAACTTTAAATATTCCAGTAATATTTCTAAATGGTAAAGAACTACTCTAAATTATTTTGCTTTTCTTTTGGGGGAGGAGTGGGGGAAAGTATTCGGAGCATAAAGGAAGAATTTGTCTAAAGTGATTGAGGACTGAGTGAGCGTTGAGAAGACAGGTTGCAGACAGATAGGATTGTTTTAATGTTCACTGCCTCCTAAGGCCTTTTAGCAGTACAGAAATGCTGCTTTTGTGCAGTGAGGCTGCAAGTGGAATTCTAACTTTGGATTCACACTGCACCTAAAAGTCGTATTTGCTGCAAGTTTGTAAACCAGCATCCCCACAGCAAAGCAAAAGTAAATGAGCATTATTGAGCTGGGATTGGCAATGCAAAGAGATCATAAATACATTTACTCAAAAGTAAGTCCTATTCTGAATTATACCCTTTGGTTAGCAATGTCTTCCTGTTTAATGTTGTTTAAAATGGCTCCTGATCGTCTGCAGCATTGCTGAAATTGCTTTTTAATCACTTCCTAAAACAATTTTTGATTGTCTGAATACATGTTGCTTCGCTTAGTAGCTTGTTCAAGTGGGAAGTGACTGCTATCTATTTTAGGAACTTCAGCAGTTGCTGAGAGAGACTGTAAACCTACAAAGTGCATCTTGGTAGCATGTCAACAGAAGTTTTTGATGCAGAATACAGTACTAACCTTAAAATGTGTTATTTGCTATGGTGCTTGGGAATTTGTATGTTCTTCCAGGCTTGATTCTCTGGGGCCCAGGTCAGCATCTAGATTCACTTTTCAGGAAGCTGTGTCCTAAGGGCACAGCTTCACAGAGCCCTTTTGACTCTTAGTTGGCAAGTTTGGGGTCAAACAGCATCCCCAAAAAGGCTGTATTTGGATAGCTCTGCCAGTTATTCATCCCAGTCTACTTTAATTCTTCCTGAAGTCCCAGTTGAGTTTTTATTGAAGAGTGTTTGCTGTTGTCATGCTTTACTATCATTTCCCCAAAGCTTCTATTTACTATTTTGCTTTTTCTGATACTCAATATTTTGTCTTGGAGGTGAAACCACAGTATAATGTTAAAGATCACTATCAGAAGATCATCATCATCATTCTTTATTAAATTTGAATATTCCCTTCATCCAAAGATCCCAGGGTGGTTCACAACAGAAAAATATAAAATAAAAATACAGAATACATAATTAAGCAAGCACAAACAAATAATCTCCTTCCCACAAACACATTTAAAAAGCCATAGAATATTAATCAGCCAAACTCCTGGCCGAAGAGAAACCTTTTTGCCTGGAGCCTAAAGATACGTAACCAGCTTCCCTGGCATTCCACAAGTGGGGAGCCACCACAGAACAAGTCCCATTCTTGTGCTGCCACCCTCCAAATCTTTTGTGGAGGAGGTGCACACGAAGAAGAGCCTCAGGTGATGATTGCAGGGTCTGGGTAGGTTCATATGGGGAGAATCGGTCCTTGCAGTATTGTGGTCCTGAACCATTTAACACTTCATAGGTCAGCACCAGCACTTTGAATTGGAAACTAATTGGCGGTCAGTGCAGTTGGGCCAGGATTGGTGTAATATGCTCAAACCATCTTGCCCCAGTGAGCATGTTGATCACCAAATTCTGCACCAGCTGAAGTTTCCAAACTGTCTTCTGAGGCAGCCCTATGTATAATGTGTTCCAGTAATCTAACCTACAGATTAGATTACCTATGTGGAACAAAGGTGCATGAATAAAGTTTGCTGGTGTCATAAAGGAACCCTCACCCCAGTCCTAAAGCGTTTGTCCAATATCTTACATAGAATTATTAATCTGACAGTTATAACTTCATTATTGTTGTGCAGTTTGGCACCAGTGAGCAGCACTGAGATTTGGAGAGAAAGTGAATACCTTGTGTTGTTTAGTGATGAGTTAGATGACCAAGGTAATGAAAACCCAGTGTTCATCTCTTGAATAAGATTTCTGGAGTAATCAGACATAATATACTTTTTATTCTGTGTATTTTATTGATCTCTAGGTAAGAGCAAAAAAAGAATTCTGGTTTTCAGACATGGAATTTATTTTATATGCCATCATTACTTCATTGTTACTTTTTAATTTACTGTGTTATTGAGAGAGAGCTTTTGTTTCAAATTAGATGTAAACTCTTTGGGCACATTTTTTCTCAACATGGGTGTAAGAATCCCAGTAGGGAAGAACAGATTTGCTTTTCCACTCTTGCCTTTATACCTGCACAAGTGTGGATGCACACCAGGGATTTATGGGAAGTAATGGGATGTTGACATTCTCTCTCTCTCTCTCTCTCTCTCACCTGTCCAAGTTTTAGTCGAGGAAGCCTGGTGTAAAACTGCATGTGTTCCAAAGATGTGCTGTTGGGAGGAGATGGCAAGGCTTTGTTAAGCCTTTTGGAGACCCCTCTGTATGCAGGCATTTTGCTCATGTGGGGAAAGATTAAATCCTTTGGCTTTTTTTAAAAAAGAGTTTTCTGCTTCTAACTCAGCTCAGGTTCAGGTTCTTTAACATTGAGTCAGGATAATGGAAGAAATATCACCATAAAAAACAGTGATTGAGGCTGGTATGAACATTCATAACTTAGGCTGAAAATCAGTGGAAGGATTTCATGCTAACCCATTTCTCTGAAGAAAATATTTAAATCAAGAAGTGGGTATTTAATTTTCCCCCCACCTATGTTATATTATAAAGTGGTTATCCAGCTTGTAAATTTAATCATACTACTACTTTTCTATCGTAATCCGTACACTTTGGAAATTTTCTTTCTTTTTTTTTAAACAGGGACCTTAAGAACAATCTCATTAGCACTATAGATCCAGGAGCTTTTGTAGGACTTTCATCTCTAAAAAGACTGTAAGTATTTACATTTGTTAACCTGGAATTAAATGGAATGTCAGAAAGTAGCAATTTAAATGTAGTCTGAACTAAAGCTTCTCTGATCTTTTAAAAAAGCCCTTAAACCATAGGCACAAGACCTCTTACTTTGCAATGTTATATTACTGTTGTTTAAGTCTATACTGTTCACTGCTCTAGAGTACTGTATGCAGTTCTTGTTGCCCCATCTTTTTTTAAAAAAGTTGATCTGGAGAAGGTAAAGAAATCATAAGGTGCTTGGGCATTTTATTTTATTTTTTAAAAAGAAAATAATGCAGTGCTCTTCTCTCCCTCCATTATTATATTCAGAAAAATTGTGTGTTTTAAGACATACACACTTACCTAGGAACTGTCCTGAGTGAACTCAGTGGGTTGCTTGCTTCTGTGTAGATATTAGTCTTCCCTGCAAATCTGACATACTGAATGACCAGGACTTTCTTATCTATGTCATTTTTGCTAAGATTCAAATGGACACCCCTAAATTTTGTGCCTTACAGAGCAGTCCAACTATGTCTATGCAGAAGTAACTCATATTGAATTCCAAGGGGCTTGCTTGATCACAGTCTAAATTCTGGTTTCGATTACCGATTTTTTGGGGTGAATTAAAATTACTTGAATTAAATTATGAGTTACATGTTGCATGGTAAAATGAAGCATTTTGGGGTTTTTTCCCCCGTTTTGAACAGAGACCTAACAAACAACCAAATAGGATGCCTGAATGCAGATATATTTAAAGAACTTGCAAATCTCGTTCGGTTGTAAGTATTATTCTGTTAAATATTATTCTTAGCAATAATTAGAATTAAGCTTTTAGTAAACTCCTTTGCTAGCTAAATTGGTAGTCTATTGTTCATATAAGGATTTCAAAATCCTTATCTGGAATTCTGTTTTACAAACCATGTATTCCTAACTCAAAATGTATGTTTATTTTGAGTTAGGAATACATGGTTTGTAAAACAGCTTTATAGTCCACATTATTCACCCAAAGATTCAACTTCCCCTGCTGCGATTGTTTGGCCAATTACACTGTAATATTTTTCCTCGTGCTGGCCTGGCTAGACAGAGAACTAGACATGGGTGAGATACATGCATACCAGTACTTGCTTAAGGGGCAGCCCCCACCATAATGATGGTTTGTGTAATGAGTTACAATTGGAATTGAGAATAATCTACGTTTTTGATCCAGAATAGTCCAGAATAGCACAAGGCTTTCTCTGAAGCTGACTGAACACTTGCTGTGTACTAATAGCAATCTCAGTCTTCCAAGTGCTGATCCAAAAAAGCACCATAAGAGGAAGATGTCAGGTGGCTTGGGAGTGCCGAGGTTTGCAGAAATACAAAATACTTTTAGGTAAAATATACTGGGCGGGGGGGGGGGGGGATATATAAAAAAATAATAAGGAGCCCAGTAGCACCTTAGAGACTAACTAAGTTTGATCTTGGTATAAGCTTTCGTGTGCATCAGATACACTGAAGAATAATATATATATATATATATACACATATATACACACACACACACACACACACACACACACACGAATAATATATTTTATATATTTTATATATTTCGACTGTGTCAGACCAACACAGCTACCTACCTGAATCTATACTGGGGGGAGGGAGAGATAAATTCCCAAAAGCAAGGATTGAGTTTGGTCTGTGGGCATGGAATGCTCACAGTTGGAGAGGTGGAATGGAAAACTGGGGGGAGGGGGGAAAAAGAATTAAACCCTGAATAACAACACCCTACACTGCAACAAGTTTGTTGTCAGTTCCACTTGTACATATCTAATGTCACTTTTAAACTTTCCTAGAAACCTTTCAGGAAACCTGTTTTCATCACTTGCGCAAGGAACATTTGATCATCTTACATCACTGAAATCTCTGTAAGTGTGAATCTGGGTGAGGTTTTTTTGGTGTAATTTTGAAAGCTAAAAGATATTGGTGTTAAAATTAAGTACAGAACATAACCAAATTAGATTTCATTTTATTTTACTGAAAAGCCAGTTTTGCCTCAGGCATTATGATTTTGTTGTTGTTGTTTCTTAAAACTACAAGTATTGTACTGAGCAAGTATGAACTTAGGAATATTAACAGCACCTCCCAGGTGTCCTGTGGCATATAAGAATTCCTTCCAGATAACCAAGTATGAAAGGATAACCAAGTGTAAAAGTTTAGGCAAATGGAAGAGTTGTTGGCTGTTCTTTAGGCCACTGTAATCTTACAAGTGACTTAAGAAGGTACGCATGGACAAATGATCTACTGAATTTATATGGCCTAGTTGAGTATTTTCAGTAATGCAGAGTTGGGCTGTTGATTGATTACAAATATTTGGAAATAGCTCAGTTATATACACCAAATTTATACCGGTTTCAGTGGGATTTTGCCTCTTTAAAAAACAAAAATCTGTCTTTTGTTTCTTCCAGTGAATTTCAGACTGATTATCTACTTTGTGACTGTAATATTTTGTGGATGCAGCAGTGGTTGCAAGAACGAAATATAACTGTTCGTGAGACCAGATGTGCTTACCCCAAGTCACTGCAGGCTCAACCAGTTTTGAGTGTTAAGCAAAGTCTTCTAACTTGTGGTAAGAACATTACAACAAAGCAATGCTGACTCTTAATAACTATTCCCAAAGTGCACCTTTCCCTTCTTCTCACTCAATTTGGTACTTTTGCACTAACACCAGGGCCTAAGTGTTCTTTCTTTAAAAAAGGAAAAAATAAGTTTAGCCCATTTACCCCCTCTGTCTTTGTGGACAGCGATAGAAGGCCCCAGGAACAATAAACATAATACATGAAGTTGAGCTTTAGACAATCAGTGTGACATACCATTTTAGGTGTTATTCTTGTATTTAAATGAATATTTTCAATATAAGACCAGGTTTGCTGGTAGTTTGAGAATCTTTAACTTGCAGTAAGTGCAATCGTAATATTTTGTAATTATCGTTCCTTTTAGGCTGATGCTGCTTCTGGTTATATGACATGGCAATTCTCTAAAATAATTTTTTATTTTACATCCAGTAAATACATTATATTGATCTAAAACATGGTGTTTTGTTTCAATGGAATACAGACCCCCCTCTGGAATTACCATCTTTCTACATGACTCCCTCTCATCGTCAGGTTGTATTTGAAGGAGACAGCCTGCCTTTCCAATGTATGGCTTCGTATATTGATCAGGACATGCAGGTTCTGTGGTACCAGGATGGGAAGATAGTTGAAACTGATGAATCCCAAGGCATTTTTGTTGAAAAAAACATGATCCATAACTGCTCACTCATTGCAAGGTGAGGATTTGGGCTGTAGTTTCTTCTAGAACAGGTGGTCAACTTGTGGCCCTTCAGATGTTACTGGGTTCCAACTCCCATCATCCCTGACCATTGGCTGTGTTTCCTGGGACTGATCAAAGTTTGAGTCAAATGACATCTGGCGGGCCTTATGTTTGCAAGCTCTATTCTAGTAGATATCTTTGGCAAAGCAGGCATTTATTCACCTTTTTAAAAAAAATGTTTACTTGCTCTTGAATGCTGGTTTTGCCTTTTACCTTAGTGCTCTGACCATCTCAAACATTCAAGCTGGATCTACTGGAAACTGGGGGTGTCATGTGCACACCAGACGTGGGAATAATTCAAGGACTGTTGACATAGTGGTATTGAACAGCTCTGCGCAGTACTGCCCGCCGGAAAGAGTTGTCAACAACAAAGGCGACTTCAGGTTGGTGATGACAGCTTTGAAGGAGAATGTGTCTGCTGCTCTTACAGATTGCTTTTGAGTTCAAATGTTACCTGATTCTGTTCTCCTTTATGATAAAGGGTGAGTTATCATGACTCTCAGTTGCATTAGATAAGGAAATGAAGAGCCAGTGTCTTATTTATTGGGCCTCCTTGTTGGGAGAAAGCCATCACAACTCCTTCAGATTAAAAATATCAGTTAAAAGTACAGTGGTACCTCGGGTTAAGTACTTAATTCGTTCCGGAAGTCCGTTCTTAACCTGAAACGGTACCACTTTAGCTAATGGGGCCTCCCGCTGCTGCTGCGCTGCCGGAGCACGATTTCTGTTCTCATCCTGAAGCAAAGTTCTTAACCCGAGGTACTATTTCTGGGTTAGCAGAGTCTGTAACCTGAAGCGTATGTAACCTGAAGTACCACTGTACAAAGCTGGTATTAATGTAGAATAAGTAGCCTTGATTTAACTTAAAAAAATAAAAAGTTGCTTCATCCCCTGCAGCTCCCCCAAGTCTCTGCGCCCAGTGTGACCGAACCGGTCACACTTCCCTAAATCTGCCTCAATTCATACCCTCCTTATGTGCTTTTGCCTGGCTAGAATGTGATCACTCTTCCTGGTTGCCTTAATGGAAGATAGAGAGGCGTCCTGTACAAAGGTAAAATGTACATTTGCCTCTTTGCTCAGCTTTGCCCCTGGCCTTGCCCCTGGAAGGTTGCCCAGATGAGAATGTGGCCCCTTGACTGAAGAAGGTTCCCTGCTCTTGGTTTATTTGTTCAGTCATTTAAAACCAGTTTGCATATTACTGTGTTCAAGCAGTAAGTATAATAGATGTAACAACCACTATCTGCATCTAGGCGATGTTAATTACTGTTGGACATTGCACACACTCGCCTTCATTTTGCACTTGTTTCTTTCTTCACCTTTTCCATTCTGACCTCTTTGCTGCTGGTTAAACTAACAGCACATTGCCTCTGGAGGTGCCAGCCATAACAGTTAGAGTCTCTCTGTGTAAGGTAACGCCTTTTCTAACTTATGTCTGTTGCACTTCCTAGCAGTAGTGCGTACTGTGAAGTGAAGTAAGTCAGTGTAGAGGCCATTTGTCTTTTGATTTTTGTTAGCCTGTCCCTGTCATTCCCTCTCCCCACCTCCAAATCAGGATCACTTTGCATAGGATGATTTTGTACGTGGATATCACTTCCATGTGGTGGAAACATACATATACTATGAACTGCAGGATATAAGACTGCACAGCTTAGAAGTTTTTTGTCAAGCGGTATATAAACCTTGTCAAGTAAATGAATAAAATGCCTTGATTTCAAGTTAAGGCTTAATACCTTGCATGTATAGCCCACAAATCGTTTATTAGCTTGTTTGCTTGCTTATTCCTACGAAAATCATTTGTGAGACACTGACTTGGCTTGCTTGTCATATTAAAACATAGGTGAAGTAAACTATGGTTTAAGCTGAATGAGTAGCATTCTGCTCAAATACTGTTGCTTCAGTCTTCTCCCTTGCTCATGCTGCACTGTGAAGGAAATGGTGGTTTTATGTGAACCTGGGCTTGTGGTTTACTTCTTGAGGGAAACCAAGATTTGTTCTTGGCTTAGCACTCATGGTTTGTTTGAGGGAAACAAACCACAATTGTATGTTGTTCACACAAACCAGGCTCTGACTTGTTTCCTTCCTAGCTCAGTCCTCTCAAGGCTTTGGTGCTTATATCCTGGTCCATTTGACATACAAACTGGGATTGATTGTTCAAAAGAGGGAATGAAAGACCCCCTTTTGCCTGTTTTACTTTCAATCATTTCTTGCTTGTCAGAGGTGACCAGGTGAGTTTTACAGGAAGATACGCCCTTAGGAAATGGCGGCCGTTATATGCTCAAAATATATGTTAGGTTTGCATTGGTCAACTTTTCAGTAAGACATGGATCAAAACTACTCTAATTCTGTGTACCTAAGGGAGATTGGTACTTTTGGTTCTCCAACCTTCAATTACTGCATCACAGATCTCTGCTGAAATTGAGAGGTGCTTTAAAAGCAATTTTGTGATACAACATTTGGAGGAAGTGGCCTGTGTGTGTGGTATTTCAACAGTTCAAAGATGAAAGGTGTAAAATTTCATTGGCCATCTCCAGGCCCTTAAATGCCTCAAGTAGTTCTTTGGAGCCAAGCCATGTTTGCCCTTCTCCTGTTACTTTAGTCCTTTCCCTGGTGCAACCTTTTCCATTTATAGGAAATGCTGTGTTGAGTTGAGAAGATAAAAAATATAAGAAAGTTTCTGGCAGTGTTTATGAAAAAAAAATGCAGAGGAATTTAAATAACTTTTAAAATACAATTGTGAATTGTTCGTTTTGGACTTACAATTAGAGGTAAAAACAGATGGTAAAGCTTGTTTTTTGAGCATTCTCTATTAAATTAACCTGTGCTTAGCAGTGATTGTTCAGTTTAATAGGATTTTGCCTCTCTGGAATTCATTGGAAGGAAACACAATTTCTGGAAACATTCATTTTATCAGGAGGTTCACTAGAGCTGGGTTTACTGCAAAAACCTTCTATCTGTGGTATAGAAAAAGCAATAACAAAGAGCTATATTTCACCTTTTGAGGCCATACAGAAAGCAGGCTCTGACTTGTAAAGGAAATTATTCTGAGCAGATGGCTGTAAATGCACCTAGGAACATTTACCTTTATTGTTCTTGGTTTGGACGGCTACAGCATAGCTGGAAGTGTCTATTTTGATTCTGCTTAGAAGCTATTTCATACTGAAGTAGAAGAACTTAAATGCATCTCTTCTCTAGGGAGAAAATAGTATATTCAAGCAAAGAAAGAAGGACATATGTATTAGCTATACTTCATTCATTTCAGTTTGATTGTCCTTTTCAAATTGAAAAAAGACTAGCTCAGTATTTACGCAGCAATATGCTTTTCTACAACTGCATTTATTTTGTGCATCATGCACAAACAGAATCCTGTTAGTTCTCACCATGGCAAAATGTAAAATAGCAAACCAATTTTGGAAAAACCATTCACGTTTATTTTAGCACATCTTTCTTTCAGGATTTTCCTGAAAATAGTTAAGAATATGGCAGCTCTGGTGAATCAAACCAAAGGTTCATCTAGTCTAGCATTCTGTTTTCAACAATGGCCTGCTGAATGTTTCTGGGATGCCTATAGAAAGGGCATGAAGGCAAGAGCTGTCTCCCGTTTGTTTTCCCCAAACTGTTTTTCAGTTCACAGGCTCTTAATATAAAAGTTCCATTTTTCTGTTAAGGCTAATAGCCACTGATCTGATCTCTATGAGTTTAACTGCTTCTTTTCTAAAACCCATCTTAACCTTTGGCACTCATTCGGTTGGTCGGAATGTGGGATAGGGTTTCCCCAAGAGATGCCTTCTTACCCTGGGAGATTTTTGTGGCCTCTCTAAGGCTTCTCTGCACAAAACTGAAAACTTTGTTGTCCTGGCAGACCTGTGGCCTGTAGGTGTTTGACATAGAACTGTTCCTTTGCTTGTTTTAGCTTAGCTTGAGTCTCTACTGCCGTTCGTTTCTTTAATTTTGCTTACTGTTACGTGCTGTGTGTTTAATATTTTCACAAAAAATATTGATTGTGTGGTGTAAGCCATATTAAGTGCCTCAATTCAGGATACATATGCTTTAAATAACGTCCTTGTGGCAGTGAATTTCGCAAGTTTTGAATTTTCTGTTCTGAATTTACTACCCCTGAATTTCACTGAGTGTCCCCAAGTTCTATCATTATATTCAAGGAAGAAAATTTATATTATAATCTCCACCCTGTTCATAATTTTGGAAACCTCTATTGTGTCTTTCCCTTAGTCCTTTGTCTACACCTAAAAATCTCCAGATGCTTTTTTATCTTCTCCTTATAGAGAAAATATTCTACTGTTCCCTTGATCATTTTTGTTGCCCTCTTCAAAATTTTAAAGCTGTCAAAACTGGTGCAATTTACACTTTTGGAAAGGTTTCTAATAATGAGTCAACATTGTATGTAAAGGATTGTATTGGTGCTTGTCTAAAAATCCAATAAACACATGAGTGTTTTCCATTGTTACTGTTTATCGTCGTCAAAGATAAATGGTATCTGTTTTGAGGTCTTAAAATCTTCCCGAAAGACAGTTACAATTTATACCTAAGGAATAGTTAAACTGCCAGTTTAACTCACTCACAGGCAAACTCTCAATAAACCAAGTATCAGTAGTTGCAAGAACAGTGTTTCAAGAAAAAAAAGGCAGACCTATGTTAGTTCTTTAACTTTGTGGAAATAATAGGTTTCACTTTCTTACTCTACACATTTCTGTAGAGTATCTTGAAGAATATCATTGAATACTTTAGCTAAACTTGTGTGTTAATACATAGAAATAATAATTTTCTCAACATGCTTAGATCCAAAAGGGGAAAATAAAAGCATCCCCCCCCCCCAAAAAAAGATAAATTCTGGGATTTGAGAGGTTTCTGTGTATAACTTTTTTGGGGGTTGTGAACCGTCTGGTACATCAACATTATGTGAATTTGATATAAACATGTGTAAATTAGATACTTTCCACAAGGGCCTAATTAATAATGTAGTTAATTGGTTGATCATTTTCATTGGTTTATCAGTCCTCTAAAACAATCCTGTGAATGTTTATTCAAGAGTAAAACGTACAGATTTCAGTGGAAGTTACTCCCAAACAAGAAAGTGTGCAAAAGATTGTAGCCTTTATGTTTAAAATACAGTAGTGTTTAATATCCTTCATCTTTATCTCTGGTTACCTTTATTGGCCCACTTTACTCAATACTCTTTTATTAAACAAAAAAGACAACAGGGGTAAGATGGAGTACTCATTGCATCTCCAAGTAATTTAATTAAGTTTCTGTATTATGGCATTGAGAGATTAAAAATATTTTCCACAGAGTTTTTAAGCTCTTTAACATAATCCCTTGAATAATATTACTTGTTCTAGTTTTGTCAAAAGTCAAAGTGTTTGATACTTTAATTGACAAGTGCAATTATTATTCTGAGTTGAATTGCAGGGCTGCCTCATTTCACTTTTAAATTATAGCCAAAATTAGAGAACAATAGGATAGAATAATTCTGTTGCTCCCCAAGAATTGTTGTCTTAAACACAAACTTCTACTTAATTACAGGACACAGTACAAACTTCATTTATAAATGTAGCCTGTTGCTCTTCTATTTTAGTTGCAATGCCAATACACTATAAACTTTGGATAATTACTTTTAAATTAAAATGAAGAGTTCATTTTCAGTTTGGGTGGAAAATTGTATATAACTTCTCTGGTGATTTGGTGTAACCCCCCTCCCCTTGCCAAATTGTGGAAAAGTCTAAAACAGTAGGATATGGAGATCAAAAGGCTTGTAATGTTAACATATGAAGAGCATGGCAATGATGAAGGCTCGCCAAGTTGAAATTTTATGTGGTTTGCATATATGTAGATTTGAAGTGTGTCTCATTTTGTGACCCAGTCCTTATTTCTTCTGTTTACTTTTTTTCCAGAGTGGCCCTGAAAATCTCTGTCTTAATCTTTTGCCTTCAACTCTTTAGGTGGCCTCGTACGTTGGCAGGTATTACTTCATACCTGGTGTGCACTCGTTACTCAGGTGGCAGTGGAATATATACAGGAAACTCTCAGGCTGAGAAGAGAGCTTGGCGCAGATGTGATAGGGGAGGATTTTGGGCCGAAGAGGATTACTCTCGTTGCCAATATACAAATGATGCCACTCAAATCCTGTATATGTTTAATCAGGTTATTCATTCTTTCTCCCAATCTTAACGTAAAATGTTTTGCACATAAATTCTTGTAAGATTTTTCCATGCTGTCTTTATTCTTCCATCCAGAAGAGGGTTTCCTCTTCAGTGAAGAACACATGTTTAAAGTGTAATGTGTTATGCCAGGATCCAAATTGCCCTTTTTGTGCCCCTAAGTAAATTCTGTCTGTGCTTGAATGGGTTGTTCATTTCTTCATCCAGATGTAGTTCCTCATCCTTTATCAAATTCTGCCCGATAAGTGTGTTTGATCTTCAGGTGCAACTTTTCAGGAGTAGGTAGCTTGAAAAGTCTACGTTTTCATGTAGCTTTTTTTTAAAAAAAAAAGATTGCTTGTTTATAAGTATGCCTAGGATACCTGAGGCCCAGTATTAGATCATAAGCAGGTGGAAAACACGTGTTCTCATTATATTTTCTTTTTGAATGTTAATGATTTTACTAGCACACAACTGAATGATGTAGCTGCTTAGAGAGAAGCTCAGTTTTAACATATGAGCTTGCATCTTTGTGCAGTGAACTATTAGAAGTTGTTTTTTTAAAAGTAAGCATGTTTGCTTGTTGCAGCTTACTCTGCAGGATCAGTTTCGTATTTATTAGGTCTTCTATTTCACATTTTGCCTGTAGTCCTAAAGTGACTCACAATATAAATATGCAATATGTGCAGTAAGATCCTCATACTTGGAGGCTATTAGCAGCTAACATCTGATTATCTTTCTCTCAGGGGAATTGGTGCTAGATAGCCCTGTGACAAGGTCGATTACTGATCATTGCTTCCAAGTTTTTAGGAAATCAGAATTTGCTTCTTCTTTTCTTCTTTTTTCACTTTGCTGTGCTTACTCATATTTTTGCTAAGGTAGACTAAAGCTTCAATCCTTAAATTGGCCCAAAGGAAGCTGTTGGAAAATTCTGTGGGCATATACGTCCTGCTGGCAGCATTCCACCATGGGCCTAAATGGGGCCTATTGGGAAAGCCATGAAGTTGCATGTTCCTGACCTACTTTATTTCCACAAAGTGTTTCCAAACAGACCGTGAAACAATGCCAGTCCTGACTGGTGCTGTCAATTTCTTCCCATTGCAGTCATAAAAACATAGGAAGCTGTTTAAACTTTTGTTATAGTTTCGTCTCAGTCACATTCAGCTACTTTCGTTGACTGCATCTTTACAGAGCCACAGCTTGGAGATGTCGGGTTGAACCTGGGAACTTTTGCATACCTTTTACCAGAAATGGAGGGGGTGGGGTTGCAGAAGTAAAGTTGCCTCCCACCCTGGATGCAACTAGCTGGCATTTATTTGGACATGGCTATTTGGTTTGCCACAGATTCTCCCTCACTATGGCTGCACACAAACAATAGAATTGCTCTATTTGTAAACTGGTTACGTTTTAAACTTCATAAACACATACCTTTATCACATACACAACCCAACAAGACAATGACAATAATCCACCAACAGCATACAAATCAATATGGCTAACCTGATCCAAAACACCCACCCACCCCACTCACACATGAAAACAAAGATCACCACAGTCAATCACAAACAAACAACCACACCCTAGGCCAACCCCAACCTCTCTCGCCACCAAAGAAACACAAATGAACAGCAGAGAACCTGCACGGGCAACGCTGACACCAAACCCTACATACATTAAGCAAAATAGATACATCACCCCCCCTATCTCCCTCCTTCCCCCCCCCAAATGTCTCAACAAATGAAACTGATTTGTAAAAATGTTACATGGAAAAAATACGAGAGACATTACACATGCTTCTGTAAAACAAGAAAATCTTTAATAATAATAAACACATACCTTTATGACAGATGCTAATGTGAATTGGCCCTATTGTTTTGTCTTGGTTATGTAATTTATACAATTACTGTGCTCCATACAGATGCCGCTGAACCTTACCAATGCTGTAGCAACAGCTCGACAACTGTTAGCTTACACTGTCGAAGCTGCAAACTTTTCTGACAAAATGGATGTTATTTTTGTGGCTGAAATGATAGAAAAATTTGGAAGATTTGCTGAGAAGTACAAAGAGGTAATTATGTTTTCCTCAATATCTCTTTTTAAAAATGCCCTTGCTAAAGCTAAACTGCGCTGTCGGTTAATATCCAAACCTCTTAAAAGCTGTAACTATTTATAGAGACCAGCTAAATTAGAGTATTCTTCAAATAGCCTTTAAGGGTAAATATGTGCTTGTGGTTAGAGGCTTTCCATTTCACTGTTGAACTTTATTGATCTTTATGTTTAGGCACATTTGAATGTTGGAGACCACAATGTACTAAATATCTGCAGTGCACTCAATATCTGCAGTCAAATCAAAAAGAACCTGGGAACAAATGTTTAAAATTATTCTGGCAAGAGCTGTAGTATTACAGTGTCATGGACTGTGGCTGTGGAGCAATCCAAGTTGTTCATTAAGTGATTGATTTAATGTGACCTAAAATATGTGTAGGCCATGGATTACAGGTTGATTTATTGCATTATAAGGATGTTGTTTTTCCTTCTGTGATGTATGAGGTCCAGATTGACACAATCTGACACTGTTCTGCCACTGCTTGAAGGCAATAAAAGCTATAAAAATGCCAGACAGAAATTCATGAGCAGTGTTTGTCATAGTAGAGTAAATGTGGCAATAGACAATGCATTCTTAACATTACTTAGTGAAACCCAGTTTAGTCTTGCTTTGCTCAGCCATAAAAATCAAGTATGCTAGCTTTCTATTTAAGTATAAATGTTCAGTATATTACATAGTTTAAAGGTAAAAGTACAGGTATCCCTGACTGTTAGGTCCAGTCGCGGAGGACTTGGGGGTTGCTCGCTCATCTCGCTTTATTGGCCGAGGGAGCCGGCGTACAACTTCCGGGTCATGTGGCCAGCATGACAAAGCTGCTTCTGGCGAACCAGAGCAGCGCACGGAAATGCCGTCTACCTTTCCGCTGGAGCAGTACCTATTTATCTACTTGCACTTTGACGTGGTTTTGAACTGTTAGCTGGGCAGGAGCTGGGACTGAGCAATGGGAGCTCACCCCATTGTGGGGATTTGAACCGCTGACCTTCTGATCGGCAAGCCCTAGGCTCTGTGGTTTAGACCACAGCTCCACCCGCGTCCCTTATATAGTTTACATGGAAGTAAAAATAAGGATTAATGAATTGAACTTGCAGCATCCATTTATTGCAACACAGCACTTCTAGGTAAAATTGGGACCTAAAAGCTATATGGCAACATTATCCATAGTTCAGAGCTGCTTCCATTTCCTTATTGGGATTTGTCACAACTGCTTTGGCTATGCAGGTGTTTATTGTAACAAATATTGTGAAGGGCAAATGGCAGGTGCTAAATCCTCAGCACATCCCAGTATGTGTGTCCTTCAGCGTCTTAGGAAGCACATGTTTTATTTATTCATTACAGTTTTTAGCCTCCAAGGAAGTTCTTGCTGACTTACACAAGGGCTTGAATCTTGAGTACCATGAGCAGAAGGAAGTCAAATAGAGGCCTTTTTCATCCCCTATCGCTACACCACCTGTGCCCTCCAAAAATCCTCTCTAGAGGTCTCTGCTTGGGCGAGGTCCCTTTGCCAATTTTGGCCAATACACACCTCCCCAAGCAATCTCCCAAGCCCCATTCTATACTGTTCAGGAGGGGGTCCCCAACCCTCTACAGAGGCTTTGAGGGTACAGGTAGCTGCAGAAAGGAGTGGGGTGTAGGTGATGAACTCCCCTTCCGCGAATGACCTGCAGTTCTTAATATTCAGAATGCATGGTAGGGTTCTCATTCTGATCTTCCATCCTGAGCAAGCCTTTCTAGCTTCAGCAAATTTGCTGCGTTGTATGCCTTCTGACTGTCCTGAGTTTATTTTCTTCCTCCCTTAATCTCTCTAGAAAGCATTTCTGTAAATAATGAAGGCACTGGACACTGGGAAAACTTGATTTTAGGGGCAGGAATATATATACAGTGGTACCTCGGAAGTTGAACGGAATTTGTTCCGGAAGTCTATTCGACTTCCAAAAGCTTCGGAAGCCGCATCAGACGTTCAGGTTCCAAAGAACGTTCACAAACCGGAACACTCACTTCCGGGTTTGCTGCGTTTGCGAGCCAAAATGTTCACAACCAAGGTATGACTGTATACATATTAAAGCTTGGCAGGCAGATTTTTAGAAAAAAAACCAACTAGTCTAAATTTTATTTTTGATGATTTACCCATTAGCCCATGGCGAGGATATCAAAAAGCTATATGGATCATTGAAATCCCATCACTTGATGCCTTAGTATCCTGCTCACCCCAGCCTAGGTTTTCAAATTTCACTAGGCTCTGGCCATTTTTAGGTTTATTTCAACAGCAATATAAGAAGGAAATTGCTTTTTAAATTTTCCTTTTTCACTTTTTGCTTATTTAATAGAAAAACTAAAACAAAATAAGCATATACATCAGGCTGTCTTAAATTCCTACTTCTACTTCTAAAAACACATATTTCTTTCGTGTCCTTATTATGAGGCCAGGCAGGCACATTTTATGCATTGTTGTACTAGGAGCACTGTAGAATTTGCTTTCTTAGATTAAATTATAAGAGAGATTAACTACTATTAGTAGAAAGGCATACATGTGGGCAGCAGCCTCTTCTTTAATCTGAGCTAGTGAACTGCAATTGAAGAACTAACTCTGCACATGGGAACTTAAATATATATATGTTTGACTGGGGAAAGCAAGAGTACTATGAAAATGTCCACGATCAAAGAAGAAAAAACTCTAAAACACATTGCTGAAAAATAGGAAACGATGTAGCATGGAAATAGGGGTGTGTGTGTGTGTGTGTGTGTGTGTGTGTGTCTCCCCATCTCTCTATAATAGGCCTCAAACAGAATGATGGATATTGCAGAGTTAAATTGCAAACTCAAAAGGGTTTAGTCTCTGCTAGTTATGATTTTAAAAAATAAATTTAAATAGGTATGTCTATTACTTGAAAATAGTTTCTAAATTAGTGTGCTTGTGGTCAATAAAAAGTGGGTGAGGAGACAACCGTGTACTGAGCTCCTTCAGTACGTGGAAATGGTGGAATAAAAATGTAATAAAGTGCTGCAGGACAGGGAGAATAAAATGTTTTTTAAAACTATGAAAAATGGTACACAAACATGTATGTCAGCCTTTCTGATCTCTTTCCTCTGTTAGCTTGGTGACGTGATGGTTGATATTGCAAGTAACATAATGCTAGCTGATGAACGCATTCTGTGGATGGCACAGAGGGAAGCTAAAGCTTGTACCCGAATTGTACAGTGCTTGCAGAAGATTGCTACATACCGGCTAGCTAATGGAGCTCAGGTTTACTCAACGGTAGGAAATGACACTTTTTATTCGTTGATAAGCACCGCTTTATTTAAATAGTAGATTATTTTTAATGGAAGCTATTCAACTATGTAGGAACAGAACATTTGGAATTTTGAAAGGAAATTGTGTACTTTAACTGGTTTAAATTACCAATATATAGCAGGTTTCAGACATATCTCTCTCTGTGTGTATGTGTCCATCTATCTATTTGTATCTTTGTTTTCTACAGTATTCTCCAAATATTGCCGTGGAAGCTTATGTAATAAAAGGAACTAGCTTCACCGGAATGACCTGCACTGTGTTCCAGAAAGTAGCGGCAGCAGACCGCACAGGACTCCCTGAATATGGACGAAGAGATCTGGATGGAAGCCTTGATAAGCAACTGGGCTTTAAGTGCAATGTCTCAAATACATTGTCAAGCCTGGCACTTAAGGTTAGATTAAGTGTGTGTGTGGGAGAGAGAGAGGAGAGAGAGAGAGAGAGAATGTGTGTTTGAGGCAATTTATATATTCAGCAGGAAAGCTTTGTTTAAAATATTCTACTTCATGCACACACACAAAAGTACACTAACTATTTTGGGGAGAAGGCTAGGCTAGGCCAAACCCATTCCCCTTGGTAGGCTAATTTTCTTTGAGGGAGGTCCCACCCATCCCTTTTGCAGACTGAAATGTACAGCTCAGGAATAGCTTGATCACTTGATTCTGTTGAATATACAGAGTTTGTGTTTGATGCTTGCTAAGCTGACCCTAAAGAAATTATTTTGTATAGATTAAGGTATAAAACAGCTTCCTGTGTCCCTAAGCTATTGGTCCATTTAGCTCAGGATTGTCTCTTCAATGACTGGCAGTGACTCTCCATGGTTTCGGGTAGGAGTTTTTCCCAGCCCTGCTTTGAGATTACGTAAAAAGTGTATTTTGAGATACAGAGAGAAAGTCCAACTTAACTGGCAAATGGAATTCTTAAAAAGTTTTAACAGACAACACAAGGATTTTCTTCCACACTGTCTATGGAATTTTCTTCCTTTATCATTCCTTTAGAATTATATTTTTCGCCCCATAGGGCGCACCGGCCCATAGGGCGCACCTAGTTTTTTTTGGGGGGGGGGGGGAAATAAAGGAAAAAAATTATTCCCCCCCCCCAGGTGCAGGGCTGGGGCGGGGGAAGCCCGAGCTTTCCCCAACCCCAGCCCCCAGAACAGGCTGCTATCCGCAAGCCTAGGGAGCCCGCGGGAAGTCGCGCCGGTCTCCCCAGGCTTGTGGATATCTGCCCAAAGGCTTCGGGATGCAGGCATCTCTCTTCGGGATGCAGGCAACTCTGCAAACCAAGTCGGGGAACAGCGGGATGACGGCGCTCCGCCTCCTCGTTGTCCCCCGAGCTTGTGGGGCTGGCGGTGGGGAGAAGCACGCTTCTCCCTACCTCCAGCCTCCAAACCAGGTCGGGGAATAGCAGGATGGCGGCGCTCCACCTCCCCGCTGTCCCCCGAGTTTGTGGGGCTTCCCGATATCTGCACGAAGCCCGGGGCGCGCTGTGCAGCGCGCCCCAGGCTTCGGGATGCAGGCTGCTATCCGCAAGCCTTGGGAGCCCGACGGGAACTCCCGCGGAGCTCCCAAGGCTTGCGGATAGCTTCCTAAAGCCTGGAGAGCGAGAGGGGTCCATGCGCACCGACCCCTCTCGCTCTCCAGGCTTTAGCGAAAGCCTGCATTCGCCCCATAGGACGCACACACATTTCCCCTTCATTTTTGGAGGGGGGAAAAGTGCGTCCTATAGGGCGAAAAATACGGTATGTTCTCTTCCATGAGCTGGAAGTGAGGGGAGCTATAACTGGCAACTACTATTCTCAATTTACTTTTCACATCTACAATTGCTTCTCCTAATAGAATATGTGGATAATTTATTTGAATTTGGTTAACCCTTCCATGTGCTCAGGAGGCTTCAGACATTGCTTAGTCAGGTCACGGCAAGCTAACCTCATGGAAGCAATTCCTCACAAAAGAAATGATGTTTTGACAGGCACACCCCTGAGCACGCATTAAGGAAAGGAAACTCAGTGCTGAGGGATGGAGGGAACAACATATCAAAGCAGAGATAGGAAGCATTGTCTTTTGTTTCAGTATTAACACACCACATGTCTGTTTTGCAGAACACAATTGTGGAGGCCTCAATACAACTTCCACCTGCCCTTTTTTCACACAAGCACAAAAGAGAGATCAGGCCAGCAGATGACACTGTCTACAAGCTTCAACTTATTGCATTTCGCAATGGGAAACTTTTCCCAACAACAGGGAATTCAACAACTTTAGCTGTGGATAGAAAACGCCTTACAGTGGTCACGCCGGTTATCCTCACCAAATTAGGTGTGTTTCAAGCAAATTATCTGTTCCGAGAACTTTCGCCTCTGTCTTTGTCTTTAATCGTAAAAGGTCAGTGCTTCAGTTTGCGTGTAATAAGATAAAATCCCATTTTCTTTCTTTATAACCAAACAAGATGGCTTGAGTCTGCCCCATCAACACACTCCTATCAATGTGACATTGCGGCGCATTGCGCATGGAGCAGATGCTGTTGCAGTGCAGTGGGACTTTGATTTGCTGAATGGGCAAGGAGGATGGAAATCTGATGGATGTCACATTCTTTCTTCAGATGAAAACGTCACTACTATACAGTGCTACTCACTCAGTAACTATGCAGTACTGATGGTATGTGAGCTGTTCATTTTATCCAAATTTACGTGGTTAATATGTTTTTCTATCAAAGGTGAAAAGTTTTCATTTATTTAAAGAAATTCTGTGCCTCCTTTGGAGACCGTGCCTTCCTAAGGCAACTTAGAAAACGTTAGTTTCATATACATGGCAGAAATATTGAGGTGATCATGGGCAAAACACAGCCCAGCCTTTGCAAATTGGAAGAGGGGTTATCTTTTTCTTATTTGGGGCAATCTGTGCTACAATTCACTAACACAGGTATGTGTGGACAAGTGAGTCCCCAAAATACAGTGGTACCTCTGGTTACCAGCGCTTCAGGTTACGAACTCCACTAACCCAGAAGTAGCTGCTCCTGGTTGTGAACTTCGCCCAGGATGCAAACGGAAATCGCTCGTCAGAGGTGCGTGTGCAGCGGGAGGCCCCATTAGTGAAAGAACGGATAAGAATGGTTTCAGCTTAAGAATGGACCTCTGGAACGAATTAAGTTTGTAACCAGAGCTGCCACTGTATTTGACGACCACTAGCTCACAAACTATTTGCAAGGCTGCCCTCAGTCTTAATGTACCTTAACAAGCTTCATGATAATTAAGAATAGAATTGTAAAGCAGTTTGGACACTGACACCACTGTTGTAACAACAGATAACAAAAAATGACTGGAAGAATCAGAAATCGGGAAGACCAAAATTTTAATAAGGAATGGGGAAAATACATAAGTTATCTTAAAAACCATTGTAATCATTAGTAGGATTAGAATAACACTTATAGTTTAATGTTGAATTTTGGATATAATGAAGATGTAAAAGATTTGGATTATTATAAAAGATGCAGGAGGAAATGATTAGCAATAGGACCCACAAAGAGGAGGAGGGGAGGCCAGGAGATTCTTTGGAATCTTGTTTTTATGTTGGCTGTTGGATAATTGATTGTAAAATTTTAAACTGAAACACTAAATAAAAATTAAAAAAAAGAAACAATAAGGAAAAAGAAACAATAAGTTTCAAGTAGTTTATAAGTATCCAGGTTCTTTATTAAGATTTTGATTATGGAGTATATTTTCTATTTTGTCTTTGGATACTCATTATCAGTGGGTCTTATAGTTTGTGTATAATAGTTTTCTCTTTGAAGCCTTTACATAAGTAAAGATAAAAGAAATCTATTTTTGAACTGGTGGTATTGACAGGTATTTTTAAAAAAAGTTAAATCAATATAATCCCACAACTGAACATTCTTACTCTTTGATTCTTGCAATTACATCTAATCCTTCTATGTAAAGGAACAGCCTGCTTGCAAAAAAAGAAGAAAAAGAAGGAAACATTTCCTACTGTTCGGTTTATATTTAAAGAGGGAATCAGTTTCAAGTAAAATATAACTGTGCCACCTGGAGGAACAAAAATAAATATTACATTACCTTCTCTGACAAAGATCCATTCATATGAATAAAATTTGACAAGAGTGTTAACCTGGTTAATTTTAGGAGAGTGTCAGCTACCCCTCAGTTGTTAGCATTACTTCATAAATTTGGCCGTTATATTGTGCTGAGCGACTCATGCAGCCTCAGTAATTTCCCCCTTTATCTGCACTATGAACCAGTCTTCTCTTTAAGGACTCCTGATCAAGGACTAGAACTGAGAACTCCCAAAGGAGCTCAAGTGGGAAGACTGTTCTGACTGTGCTCAGATGTTCTGCTGTTCTTTTAACGGTTTCATGGGGCAGTTGTGATTATAACAATCCTTACACCAAATACAGCTATAAATATAATTAATCATTTGCATCGTCTTGTCTCTCAGGATTTGACAGGGTATGCCCAGGCAGTTGACCTCTTACATCCAGTTATCTATGCCTCAGCTGTGATTCTCTTGATGTGCCTCCTGATGATCAAAGTTAGCTACCTATACCATCACAGGTATCAAGATTTTTGAATTCATACTGTCCTATCTAGACAAAACGCAAGTAATTAGTCTCGGGTTACTATGTGTACACAGCAGTCCAGCACCAGAAATATAGACTCATGTTAAATTAGTAGGTGATGTCGGTTAGTTTGCTTCAAAGTATCAGGTAGCTGGATATTGGAATGGCATGCCTATCAACCACCTTTTCATAAGTTCATACCAATAAGAGTAGAATCTAGTCCAGATTCAGTCTCAATCTGTGTTATATATTTCAACTTGCAGTGCTGTTTCAAACATAGCTTTGGTAATCTCTGGGAGAACCACTCTTTCTGCGTTTACATGTATTGCCTGCTACAATCTACACTTAAAGGAGTTGTTTTCTTTAAGGGGTTCAAATCCTCCCCAACCAAAACAAAATGAGTAATCTGTTACTTAAACAACTTCCTTACAGGAAGCTACTGCATTCTGGCCCGCTGTTAGATGATGTATAAATTAGTGGGACAGCTTTTTCATATGGCTCAACAGAATCTGCATAACAGAATGAGCTCCCATTGCTTTGTCCAAGCTCTTGCCAACCTAGCAGTTCAGAAGCATACCAGCTTGAGTACAGTGGTACCTCAGGTTACATACGCTTCAGGTTGCATACGCTTCAGGTTGCATACGCTTCAGGTTGCATATGCTTCAGGTTACAGACTCCGCTAACCCAGAAATAGTGCTTCTGGTTAAGAACTTTGCTTCAGGATGAGAACAGAAATCGTGCTCCGGCGGCATGGCGGCAGCAGGAGGCCCCATTAGCTAGGGTGGTGCTTCAGGTTAAGAACAGTTTCAGGTTAAGAACGGACCTCCGGAATGAATTAAGTACTTAACCCGAGGTACCACTGTAAAACCTAATAGCTTACCAAATAGCAGGCAAATTATAGAACATAGATTAACATCGGAATGGTAAATTTCCTGATTTATGCTACAGTTCTAATAATTTAGCCCAGTGTACTTAAATAAGCCTTGGGGTTTCTTGGAAAATTCAGAGAGATCTCAGTAGGAGAGTAGTAATGACAAGCAAGCTTTCCTGAAAGTGCAGCTGTTAGCTGCATTTAGGGAGCACTCCATTCACATTGGTTGATAAGGCTGAATAGCCATGACGGCTGTGGAAAGCATTCCATGAAGGTGCAAAGTATTTAAATACTGATTTTGCTGTTAATGCTATATCCAGATACATTTCCTTCCTCCAGATGCATTTCCTAGGGAGGGCATTCTGTGATTTGGCATTGCGGAATTCAGTTTTCATCATAAAGGTCCACATAGATTCAGGTTGATGCAACTAGCATGATTCTGGTTAAAAATATATGCTTGTATAATTGAACATTTTAGCATTTGTATGAAGAATTGCTTTGCTTCTGTTGTTTAACAGTGTCATCAGGATCAGCCTTAAAAGTTGGCACATGTTAGTTAACCTCAGCTTTCATATTTTCCTGACATGTGTGATGTTTGTTGGAGGCATTACCCAGAGCAAGAATGCTAGCATCTGCCAAGCAGTAAGTTAAACTGTGTGTTGAGAAAACTAAGAAAAGAAATAGTAATAAAGAGCTCAGGGGTGGGGGCAATGATTTTGTCAAGAGCTGCTGGGCGTTTTCCCATGGAGAAATATTAAAATTTGACAGTTTCCTATTGCCATCTTATAGAGAACTGCTAAAGCGGAAACAAATGTACAATTCTGGAATTTTGTTTCAAAGTATAATTTATTGAGGAATGCATTATCTAGACCAGTGGTTTTCAAATTTTCTCCCCTCAGAGAACTTTTCCCATATAAAGTTATCTCCAAATAATTCCTGATCAGAGGATTTGGGAACGTGTTAAAGAATGCACATCCAGTCAAGCACACACAATAATATATACATTGCAGGGAAAGCTGCTTTCAAGGTTTTTCATTTGCTGTTTCTGAGATTATTGAGGGCCCCTCAGGACACCACCCCAGTGATAATATAATCCACACAAAAAGCACTGATCTAGAATTTAATCCAGTCAGGAACCATGCCCATTAGCGTTCCAGGTAAGTGGCTTCAGGAACTCTTCATGAAGCGATTTGTACTTTAGTGCCGATATACAAACACAACATTGTAAATGCACTTTCCCATGTATACCAGTATAAAGTAATGCACGTACCAACTTCGGCAAAGCAAGGCATAGTTTGAAGCAAACCCATCAAATGGTTCATTAAAGTTAAATGAGTAGGTGGCCTCTCAGAAACTGCAGCCTTTCAGCCAATTTGTATGTTTCCTGGGAATTATATGTTATGTTTTGAACAGCCTGTTTTCTTAATGAGTGGGGTGTATAGTTGTCGTTCTCTTTCTTACTAGCGGTTATAAGGGCGATAAACGATCATTACAAAACAAGTTGTCCAACCAAGAGTTAAAAATTAACTTGCCATAATTAAGCAAGTAGGTATTGGCTTAAGTTGGTAAGTAGGTTGTGGAAGAAGTGTTTGAGTGCCTGTGTGTGTTAAACATACAAATAGACCGTATCTCTCTTAAGCAAATGCCTTAATTGTCTTATTGTATATTTTTCAGGTTGGGATAATTCTGCACTATTCTACACTTGCCACGTTACTGTGGACAGGAGTCACTTCTAGAAACATCTATAAGCAAGTCACTAGGAAGGCAAAGAGGTGTCAAGATCCTGACGAACCACCCCCACCTCCTAGGCCAATGCTTAGGTAAGAAATATTATTGTACAGCTTCTTCTTAAATTAGTGTGTTGTTCTTGGGATTTCCCTACTTTGAATGGAACTCAGCAAGTTCTAGGTGAATATTAGTGAAAGACTGAGGAACATAAAAATGACCAGCATGCTTAAAGCATCTCCATGGGTGCCAACCTTAGGGTATAACGAGGGGAGAGTGGCTTGTTGTTCTGGTGGTGGTCAAGATGAGATCAGAAAGCATATATAAATATTTTAGGTTGGCTTACTCCCTTCATTGTTTATGATTTACAAGCTAATGAAGATTATTTTTATTTATTTTAGAAGATTTCAGTTCCAGGATAGCGTACAGTAACTATATAAATAACAGTAAATAAGCAAAACGCTACAGGAATAAGACAGTAAAAGGAGCAGTTAAAATAAAGCCATGAAATTAAGCAGAACGGATAAAACTGTATTCAAGCCAACTTCCATTATATGCTAAAACAGGTTGCAAACTGGATAAACTCTTGGTGTGCACTTCACCAGAAATTAGGTGGGGTTTTTTTTTGGGGGGGGGGGGGAGCATATTCACTTTTTCCAGCTTTAATTGGGGAGATCACCCAATTGGCTTCAAACCCTATTGGCTTCAGTAGAAGACTTTGCAGTCTGTTTGCAGCTGAAGGGGCTTTGAATGTGCCACAAAGGGCCTTGCTTTCTTTTCTCATTCAAAATCCCTTCTGTCAAGGGTTCAAAATGTGTGTTTAATATTTCATACAGATGTTTCAGCCATTGTCCATTAAACTAGTTTAATCTGGCTTTGTCCACAAGGTGGCAGAAACTGATCAGTTTTTTTCAAAACTGGAACTTTATAGCCTCGTTGTGTTAATTTGTCATACAAAATATTTTTTCTCTTGCATGCTTAAGAGAGCACAAGAAGTAAAATCCATTTGGAATATTCCTTGTATAGCCCTTCTTTTGAAGGAGCTGGGGCAGACACCTTAGCTCAGTAGCAGACCACATGCTTTCTGGGCAAGATCAGGAAGCAAGTGATGGGAAAGACTCTCACTTGACATCCTGCAGAACCACTGCTACTCAGAGTGGGCCAGTACATGACACTGGGAGGAGAACATTCTCGCACCAGAAGGCAAAATTCCCTAATGGAAAACCCTCTGGGGGCTTCAAGCCTCTGGTGTGCAGGGCCAGAGCAGTAAATGAACAGTTTCCCTTTACACACACTTGCACATCCCTCTCTATCCTGAATCTAGGCAAGCAAGACGCATTATCAGAGTTCGATACATGCCAGCCAGCCAGAAAAAAACCCAGGGAAGGTGAAAATCAGTCAGAGAACAGTGGGGGTGGAGAAAGGGAGGCCTGCTTTTGACCAGCAAGTCTGAGGTTCCCCAACCCTGGTCTGAGAAAGCCAAACCCCTTCTCCCAACCCCATCCTCTCTCATCCATGCCTTGAGACTACACTCATGCATCTATCTAGCTGGTCCCGCACGTGGCTCTGGTAGTATTTCAGAAACAGCTACCTTAATGTCTCTGCCGGTCAGCTTTCTACTGAGCAACCACCAGCATTTAAACTTTTTTTTTGGGGGGGGGGATACTGCTTTCCATGTGCTATCCCAGCCTAAGAACTGGGGCTAGCTTTCCAGTCGTACTACGGAATTGGAGTGTGCCTTTAATTGTTGTAACCACTAACTGGCATCTGCTTTGTTTTTTAGGTTCTACCTAATTGGTGGTGGCATCCCTGTGATAGTCTGTGGGATAACAGCTGCTGCAAATATAAGGAATTATGGAAGCAGGCCTCATGCAGCATAGTAAGTATTTGGGTGGATATATTTAACTGAAATTATTATTAAGAGTAACATGAAAGCAGATGCCTTTCTCACATTTTGCTTTTATTGTCTTATTGCAGTTGTTGGATGGCATGGGAACCAAGCTTGGGAGCATTTTATGGACCTTCCAGTTTCATTATATTCGTTAACTGCATGTATTTTCTCAGCATATTTATACAACTGAAGAGGCACCCTGAGCGTAAATTTGAACTTAAAGAGCCAGCTGAGGAGCAGCAGCGTTTAGCTACCAATGAACACAGCGACCTCAACCACCAGGATTCAATGTCTGTGTCCCTGGTTTCCACTTCAGCTTTGGAGAATGAGCACAGCTTCCATGCTCAGCTTCTGGGCGTGAGCCTCACTTTATTTCTGTACGTGGCCCTGTGGATTGTCGGGGCCTTTGCTGTTTCTTTATATTACCCCTTGGATTTGGTATTTAGCTGCTTTTTTGGAGTTGTGTGTTTAACTCTTAGTGGTTTCCTAATAACGCATCATTGCATCAACCGGGAAGATGTCCGACATGCTTGGATCACAACTTGCTGCCCTGGAAGGAGCACATACTCGGTACAAGTGAACATTCAGCCCTCTTCCAGCGCGAGCGGGGCAAATGGGGAACCTGCCAAGTGCACCAATAGCAGTGCAGAGTCGTCATGCACTAATAAAAGTGCGCCAAGCTTAAAAAATTCTTCTCCGGGCTGTAAGCTGACCAATATACAGGCTGCAGCAGCTCAGTGTCCTGCAGGCCCCTTGGCACTAAACACAGGCCCTCCACTCGATAACAGCCTTACTGAGCACTCAGTAGACAATGAGATCAAAATGCACGTGGCCCCTTTAGAGGTGCCTTTACGGACAAATGGGCACCCAGGTCGCCATCACAAAAACAGGAGTAAAGGGCATCGTGCCAGCAGGCTAACCGTCTTGCGGGAGTATGCTTACGATGTCCCCACCAGCGTGGAAGGAAGCATCCAAAATGGCATGCCCAAACCCCGTCAAAGTATCAGCGAAGGGCATTCAAGGAGCCGAAGAGCTTATTTGGCCTACAGGGAGCGGCAGTATAACCAGTCTCAGCAAGACAGCAGTGGTGATGCTTGCAGCACTCTTCAGAAAGGACACAGGAATACCGAAAAGACAGTGCCAACAAACTTCAAAAAGGATGTACTTAGGAAGCCCATAGTGGCCGAGCTGGAAGGGCAGCAGAAGTCCTATGGCTTAAATTTGGCTGTCCAGAACGGGCCACTAAAAAGCAGTGCCCAGGATGCGACATTACTGACTGCTGACAGCACTGGCAATATCAGGACTGGGTTATGGAAACATGAAACTACTGTGTAGTGCCACTGGACATTATCCTTGAAAGGATTTAAATGGAACTTTTCTTCCGTGCTATGAATAATTTTCCACAGTTTACAGACATGGGTACGTTGAGCGGGGAGAGTATTGGGTAGGAGAGAGCTGCCATTTTAAAATATTTTATACTTTTTAAAAGTATACCTGCGACATTTTTGCAGGAGATCTGTTACTCTGTGAATCTTTCATTATAAGATTCTGTTTTGAGATGCAGAATTGGACAGTATTTTTTTTACATGTTAACATTCTCTCTCTTAGGTATGTCCATCACATTTCACTTTTATATTTAAATGTGTAAAATAAATAACTTTCTCTAAAATCCATATGCACAGTATTGGTTCAGACGGTCAGGTGGTGGGGTGTTGTGCCTAAAATCTGACATTACAGTTGCTGAGAAAAGACACACTGCCAAAATGGTAAGTTCTAGGCTGGTGCTTCTATCCAGGACCTCCTTGCACAAGAAAAAAAAATCTATTAAAATGTTTCCAATTCAAAAGTTTAAGGGCCCTGCACATAACACATCCTGATCTATTAGGGTTCTTTATAGAAAGTTGTGTGTGTTCTATTAAGTTTGTACTGCCTCTCCCTCAACTGCAGAAGACAGCCAGAACTCATGTCATTCAGCACTTCTACTTGACAAAGTGAGTTTTCATTCAGGCTTCTTGTGTTACAGGGGTGCGCAGGGTATTATTTAATTATTTTCACACCACACTTCCATAGGAAATACAGCAAGGCTGTGTACAACCTTACACAACATAAAAATAGTGCAACAACAGTAAAAAAAACACGAGTGACATGTCAGTAAAAACATCAGTAACGTATCAATAAAAACTAGCTGGCAAATGTTTAACATTCAGATTTCCCTTTAGCAATAACTTCAGAGTTATTGGTGAGTGGTGTTTTGAAACTTGAAGTCTGAAACTTGAGATGTTAGCATGATCTACCGTATTTTTCGCCCTATAGGACGCACCTAGTTTTTTGGGGGGGAAATCAAGGGAAATTTTTTTATTTTCCCCCCGAGGTTTGTGCAGCCATCCCCAAGCTAGAAGAGGGAGACGAAGCGCTCCGTCTCCCTCTTCTGCCTTCAGGGACAGCTTGCCCCGCTGCCCCCCGAGCTTGTGGGGCTGGCGGGGGGGGGAGAAGGCACTGCGCCTCCCCGCTGTCCCCCGAGCTTTTGGGCTGCAGGCTGCTGCCCGCAAGCCTTGCGAGCCCGCGGGACATCCCGCCGGGCTTGCAAGACTTGCGGATAGCTTCCTGAAGCCTGGAGAGCGAGAGGGGTCGGTGCGCACCGACCCCTCTCGCTCTCCAGGCTTCAGCGAAAGCCTGCATTCGCCCCATAGGACGCACACACATTTCCCCTTCATTTTTGGAGGGGAAAAAGTGCGTCCTATAGGGCGAAAAATACGGTACCTGAAGTTGGGATCCAGAGAGCTGTTTTATGCATACCAAATAACTTGGACATGCCTAGAGGGGTTTTGACATTTTTCCTTTCCATGACAGTTCGAAAACCCACCCCTTGATTAAAAAAGTTATTTACTAAAGTGCAAGGGGACTTCTGTGCAAGAAGCATAAGCCCCAAATGTTGGACCCTTTATTATTTTAATTCTTAAGTTTACCCCTTCCTGTCATGAGAGTCTAGAGTAGCTATATAAGAAAAATCTAGCATTGAAAACAGGTAGAATCACAAAACGAAACACAACAAAACAATAATAATGGCAATATATCATGTTCCCTCATTCTTCAGCTCCAAAGCCAGTTAGATTCCAGTTTTGCTTCATTTTCTTTAAAGTTCAGTTCCAGAGGGACATCTGTTGACAATTTTGAAAGCAGTAAAACAATTTTAGTAAGCAGGAGGCTTTGGCATACAACGTCTTCATTCTGTCAGTCATTTTGTAGTGCACGGTGATATTTCCATTTTACAGAGCAAAAACAGGTTAAACACGAGAATGCTCAGTGGCTGAGGCTTTCTTTGATGAACCTAGACATAAAAGCTTACATTCCAGGCCACACTGGTGCTCTCCTAATGGATGTAATCCATTTCTATTGGAGTCACTTCTTCACTTAATTGAAGATAATGCATTATCTCTTTGTCTACCACCCAATCATTCATCAAAACTTCATTTTTAATGACACTCTTTTACCTGGCTAAAGTGTGTATGTCTTTTGGTTTGAAAATGGAAGACTTTTCGTACAGCTCCTTTCTGCAGTAAAAATTCTGTTAACTGGGTCTTTTTTTCTTTTTTTTTAGTCAGTTAAATCAATTTTGTAAGTGACCCACCTTTGCAAGGACAAGTTAGTAATGAATTCCCTCAATTCATATCCCTTCCCTCTGTCCTTTTATGTGATCTCAGCTGAATTCAGAGTGCCTTTTTGTGTCTGTTCAGGGGAGCCTCTTGCTTTCATGATCCTATCACATTGGGAGTTGTTTTTTAAAAAATGATATTTATTAAAGTTTCAAAGGAAAAAAAATTACATAAATTAAAAAAAGGAAAAAGACAGAAATAAGAATAAAAGAAAAATACAAAATACAGAAAAAAAAGAAATATAAAAAACACTTTAAAAAAAACAATCAATCTTTCCACCTTACATTCATTTCCTTGCTTCCCTGACCTCCTCGCACCTCCCTTTTTTGTATTCCAATTCAGTTAGTTAATTCAGCAATTTCTTTCCCTCTTTGTTTTTATCTTAATCCTTTAACTTAATATATTATAACTTTGGATTCTCACCTGTTAATAATCCATTTTTACATACACCTTTATAACATTGCTGCTTAAACCACTTAACTTCATTCTGACATCATTCTAACATTCATTAATTTTACAATATTTCTGTAAATAGTCTTTAAATTTCTTCCAATCTTCTTCCACCGACTCTTCTCCCTGGTCTCGGATTCTGCCAGTCATTTCCACCAATTCCATGTAGTCCATCACCTTCATCTGCCATTCTTCCAGAGTGGGTAGATCTTGTGTCTTCCAATACTTTGCAATAAGTATTCTTGCTGCTGTTGTGGCATACATAAAGAAAGTTCTGTCCTTCTTTAACACCATTTGGCCGACCATGCCCAGGAGAAAGGCCTCTGGTTTCTTCAGAAAGGTATATTTAAATACCCTTTTCATTTCATTATAAATCATCTCCCAGAAAGCCTTAATCCTTGGGCACGTCCACCAAAGGTGAAAGAATGTACCTTCAGTTTCTTTACATTTCCAACATTTATTATCGGGCAAATGATAGATTTTTGCAAGCTTGACTGGTGTCATGTACCACCTGTATATCATTTTCATAATATTCTCTCTTAAGGCATTACATGCCGTAAACTTCATACCTGTGGTCCATAACTGTTCCCAGTCAGCCATCATTATGTTATGTCCAACATCTTGTGCCCATTTAATCATAGCAGATTTCACCGTTTCATCCTGTGTATTCCATTTCAACAGCAAGTTATACATCTTTGACAAAATCTTAGTTTTGGGTTCTAGCAGTTCTGTTTCTAATTTTGATTTTTCCACCTGGAAGCCAGTTTTCTTGTCCAAATTGTATGCCTCCATTATCTGATAATAATGAAGCCAGTCTCGCACTTTGTTTTTCAATTTCTCAAAACTCTGCAATTTCAGTCTATCTCCCTCTTGTTCCAAAATTTCCCAATATTTCGGCCATTTGACCTCCATATTGAGCTTTTTCTGAGCTTTTGCTTCCATCGGTGACAGCCACCTTGGGGTTTTGTTTTCCAATAGATCCTTATATCTTATCCATACATTAAACAATGCTTTCCTGACAATATGATTTTTAAATGCTTTGTGTGCTTTGACCTTATCATACCACAAATATGCATGCCATCCAAATACATTATTAAAACCTTCTAAATCCAAAATGTCTGTGTTTTCAAGAAGCAGCCATTCTTTCAACCAGCAAAAGCTGCTGATTCATAATAAAGTTTAAGGTCAGGCAGGGCAAATCCACCTCTTTCCTTTGCATCCGTTAATATTTTAAATTTTATTCTAGGCTTCTTGCCCTGCCAGACAAATCTAGAGATATCTCTCTGCCACTTCTTGAAACAGTCCATTTTGTCCAAAATTTGCAGTATTTGAAACAGAAACAACATTCTAGGCAATACATTCATTTTTATCGCAGCAATACGGCCTAGCAGTGAAAGCTTCAAATTTGACCAAATTTCCAAATCTTTTTTCACTTCAGCCCAGCATTTTTCGTAATTGTCTTTGAATAAATTCCCATTTTTTGCTGTCATGTTAATCCCCAGGTATTTCACTTTCTTAACCACTGTTAAACCTGTCTCATTCTGGGAGTTTTGGTTAGTTAGGAAGTCGTACAGCATGCTTTCATTTTAGCTCACCTGCATTTCTTGTTGAAATGCGCTCCTTTGCCTCTAATTATAGCAGGTACCTATGACTACCAATATTTTATGGCCTAAGGGTTCACAGATTACAGTCGACTTCATCAGAAGCATGAAGCATTTTCCTGAGTTACACAGGGAGATGGGGTGAGACTGTAAGCCAGGAGTGGAAAAATGGATCTGAACAGATCCTTATCTTCTCCCACCCTTGCAGGCCAACTTTGACAAGTGGGCAGGGCCACCAGCCAAAGTTTGAAAGACCACAAATCAGCAGGCATCATATATGATGTCAGAGGTACAGCAGGTGGGAATTTACAAGGTAAGCTATGAGGCCAGGGGAAAATGAATGCATCAAGTATAGTGGTACCTTGGTTTACAACCATAATCTGTTCCGGAGGTCCGGTTGTAAACCAAAACAGGTTGTAACCCAAGGTGCACTTTCGCCAATGGGGCCTCCCCCCCAAAAGGGGGGGGTGTAATTCAAATAAAGGGACACGTACTTCCGGGTTTGACGTTATAATCCAAAACAGTTGCAAACCAATAGTCAGTTATTAACTGACTATTCAGAGTGGAGGAGGAGGAGGAGTTTGGATTTGATATCCCACTTTATCACTACCCTGAGGAGTCTCAAAGCAGCTAACAATCTCCTTTCCCTTCCTCCCCCACAACAAACACTCTGTGAGGTGAGTGAGGCTGAGAGACTTCAGAGAAGTGCGACTAGCCCAAGGTCACCCAGCAGCTGCATGTGGAGGAGTGGGGATGCGAACCCGGTTCACCGGATTACGAGTCCACTGCTCTTAACCACTACACCACACTGGCTCTCGACAGAGAACAGTTGGTGGTAGCCCAGGCACGATTTGTGTATAATTAACTTCTAGTGGCACTGTGGTCCAAACCACAAAGCCTAGGGCTTGCCGATAAGAAGGTCGGTGGTTTGAAACCCCGCAACGGGGTGAGCTCCCATTGCTTGGTCCCTGCTCCTGCCAACCTAGCAGTTCGAAAGCACATCAAGTGCAAGTAGGTAAATAGGTACCACTCTGGCGAGAAGGTAAACAGCGTTTCCGTGTGCTGCTCTGGTTCTCCAGAAGCGGCTTAGTCATGCTGGCCACA